GTGGCCATGTCTACTGCAGGATTCTCACGTAATCTGCAAAAAAGTTCCATATTAAACAATGTTTTTCTTTGTCACATATTTTATATATGGTAAATCCATTTTTACTGTTTTTAGAAACAGTATAGACATGTGTACACTATAGCACTTTAAATAAGATGCATCATATACAACATGCATTTACAGTAAATATTTATTATATTATATTTTTATATTTATTCCCCATGGCTGTAAATATACACAAACATTTTAAAAATGTATTTTGCAATATTTTTGCTATTAATACTTAGATTGGCTTCCTTCTTATTGAATCCCCACAGCAGTCACAATATGGACCAGATGCCCTTCCCTGACGCATGCCGTTCTATCCAGGTATGGCACTAAGGAGCTGGGGCATGAAGGGCCTTTGTCAAGGACACATCAGCATGCAGCTGGATTTAAACCAGATCAACTACAGGCAAACTAGGCAACAGCCACTAATACAATTTAAGCAATGATGTATTAGATCAGAGGTGGCCAGTCAAAGGCTCTCCCACTCTGTTACAACTTCCAGTGTGTATCTTTTCATCTGTGCAAATTGGGTTTTCCCTAAGTCATTTGTATAAACGAGCATCTGCATGAGATTCACAAAAGTTCTGGGAAAAATTGAAAATAAATAAATCACAGCTGTTTACACCACATGCTATCAAGTACAAAGAAGCAACTAGATGTCAGAAGTAAGTCATGTGTACTAAAGGTCAGGGGGCATTTCTGGCGGTCAAGTATTTTAGGATACTCTGCGGACACACCAAGGAATTGCTTTGGTGATAGAATAATATCAGCGCGGTTAAATTTGGTAAATGATACATGAACTCTATGTCTGGGGGTTTCTCGGACCGGGGGAAGAATTGTCTCTGGAGGGAGGAATGTGAGTGATGTTGCTGTCACCCAAAACCATCTCTGTGAAAGCCAAAACATTAGAGCATAGTGCAAAAATAACCTGCAGCTGGGCTGACCTCAGATGCACACAGTCTATATTCTTTTTTCCACCGGACATCAGACAGACAATGTACAATAAAAAAATAAATATAAGTCAAATAGCGACTGTAAAAAAATAGGGTGCTAAATGGAAAATGTAATAAAGGAAACAGATCCTTTTAAACTGCACAAAAAAAAAAGGAAACCATAAAAAGGCTAAATCTGGCAAGGTGAAGTCTTAAGTGAGGAAAAGGACAGAGGCCTTGGCAGCACTAGAAGATTAGCCCAAGTTTCCCACTTGAGCCCCTTGGTGTTGACAGTAGGATAAACACTGCCGGCTCTGATTTCAAATTCATACTATGTAGTGGTGTTTTCTTACACAAGTTCACATCACCAGATCGTAGATCACAGCTTTGCCGCCATGAGGCACGCACTTAACACATGTCTGAGTGTTTTTTAAGCAAGAGAGAAACCCCATGAAGCGATAACATTAAGAACACCAACTACGCAGGCACAAACACTAATGTTTAACCTTGTTAAAAGTTATATTCCATATTTATAAAACTCGATTTACCACAAACTATTCCAAAACCTCAATGTATGTCGAAGAAAGACTTCAACTTCCCACGACTGTTGCAAGATTTCTTTTAAAGCAACACTTATTACTTTTAGTTTACATAATCATCGGCAGAAAAAAACAAAACAAAAACGTGGATTACTGAAATTTGTCTATGAAGCTCACCCAATCATCTGCAGCAACAAGCTGTGATGAGATTACATGATCTCTCGCAACATTACACTCACAAACCAATCCAAGTCGCTAACACTCTGGGGTCTAAGGATAGAAAAATCTGCCAGAAAACAATCAGAGCGATGATAGGTTTAACTCACTCAACATGCAGAAGACACAAAATATTTGTCACATTTTACAATGTGTGACCAAGTAAACAAAGTTTTAGAGACTAGAAACAGAGCGCTGGTCTTACTTGAAGCGAGCCGAGTTGTGAGGTGGCAGGAGTCACAGAGACACACACTGAGTTCAAGGCAGATGAAGTGTTAAGAAGGTATATATTGCAATCTCTGATAGCCGTCTAAATCCTGGTGTGCTCTTTATGGAAGTGGATTACTTGTCAAACCAATGAGCTGGCAAGGTCATGAAATACAGTACAGTGTCATCTCCCCCCTTCCTCTGAGCGCCTCATTATAAATAACCCACCCTTTAAGATTCTCATCAGTATTATCTTCTGCCATTCAGGTTCTGATGGATGAGTAAGTTATGAAATCATAGTCAATTGTAGGCACATACTGACCTTAAATGTATTGTATTTAACATTTTACTTTATACTGTCATCAGTGAATGACATACTGATGGATAAAGTCTGCTGGATACAATACAAAGGCAATCGCTGCACTGTGGGAATTCAGTACTCGCAAAATAAGATTTTTTTTTTTTAAATCAAAGAGTAAAACCTAGTTCACATTTCCAACTATAGACACTGTTTTTGCAATTGTTGAACCTGCATATTTTATATACATACTTCCTTTGTTGCACCAACCAATCAATTGGTTAAACATGCCAGCCTATGCAGTTTAGTGGCATCTAGAGGTGAATTGGCATAATACAACAACCATAAACTGACCATATACTAAATTGACAAACATTTTTCATATGGTGGGATATGGATTATATATTCAGCTAGAAAAAAAAGGAAGTTCAACTCACCACATGGTTGAAGCTGAGTAGATGTGCACATCCAGTTCAACCTAAAATATGAAACACATTAATTTGTGTTAGGTTGAAATTGATTATATAAGGACATATCAAAGGTATAGTTCATGATATGATGACCAAGATATTGTAATAATGGTGATTTACAGAGGAACTTGACAAGAGTTTTAATGCCACTATTTTAATAATAATTATTCAAACTAGTTTAAATGTAAAAAAATTAAAGTGAAACTACTTACCTTTGATCACAGTCTTCTTTAAGATGTCAGTGGTCCATGAAAATAAGGTAAAATGCCTCACATAAATTTACTGACAATCACAGTTGTGATGTATTAAACTTAAACCATTATTATTTGTCAAAATTAAATTCATGGTGTACTTTAACTTATAGCTATTGCATTGAACTACATCAATGACTTATACACCTAATGGTTTTTAACCGGTGTGCCATTAAAACTCCACACATTTTTAAATAAAAAATAACAAAAAGATGGACCTTCTCAAGTAGATTTTTTTAATTTAAATTAAATTAACTCAGTTCACATGTTTAAAAACGAATCTGTGTTGCCTCAATGGTAAGGTGTACCAGTACTGTAAACAATAAACAGAGACAACACTGAAAACCCAGGAGGTTTAAGCCTCGGCCTCAAACATCTTCTTCCTCCCATCCATGCCGGATTTGTCCTCAATGTTTTTACGCCAGTCACCAACGTCACGCAGCTCCTTGTCCTGTGAACACACGAAGAAGAAGGGGGTGTATGAGGATGTTTATTAAGACAATATTTTACTTTTAAAGTTAGTCAAGTTGATTGGATGGTAGTTGCTTCTCAAAGTCACAAATAGCATTTTCCTTTTGGAGCATTACATTTCTGTCTCAATTTAGTCAACAGAACAGGTTACTTTGTTGAACACATTATTCGATTTTACATTATCTTACAAGAAATTATACACTGTTGTATATAATTTATAATATAATATATCCATAGACGTGGTAGCATTTTACTTCATAATTAAGCCAGATAATTCAATATAATGTTTCTTACCTTTCCATGAGACGCCTGCAGATAACGATTCGAACCGTTTCTTTTCTCATAAAGTCGTTCCGTACAAGTTACGAAGTATCTGTTTATCGCTAACGTTACAAGGGGTAAAAATATCTCTGCTACCACAAATATTTTAATCACGCCATTTAAATAGTAGACCACATTAACTCCGCTCCTAGCTTCCAACCGTTTCAGTTTACTCTACTACCGGACACACGTCCCGCCTTCTCCCTACAATGACTCAGATTGACTCTGGTCATTATATATTAACCTCAGGAAGTCAGCGCTGATTGGACTTTGTCGCCTTGTTTTAATTGGTCCAATCCAAACATAATTTCTCATATAGTTTCTTTTTAGTTTTGGTTTTAGTTTGGGAAAAATTCGTTGATTAAATGTTTGACGAAAAACCTTAAAAAAACACCCAAACAACAAAAAAACAAAACAAAAAAAAACCAAAACATAATTGGGTAAGTTTAGGGTGAATTGATGGTAAAACACCCACGGGCTCATGATTTAACCGCTGCTTTCGTCAATAAAAAAACAGAAAAAGATATTAAATTGTTATCACCAGCTCCTCACCTCCTCTTTCACCTCCTTTTTGACCTGCTTCAGGTTGGCCCTCAGGTCTAGGTTGACCGTATGCTTGGAACCCAGCAGAGCTTTAAGCATGGCGTCTGCAGACATTCGTACTTTCCTTAGGACAGGCTTCTTGAATTTGCCCATCAGGTCCTGAACTTTGATCTTCAGATCATCAATCTGGAACATGAAGGTTATACTGAGGATATCATAGGCATCAATCAGCATTCAAGCTGGAATTATATACAACAGACTTTAATGATGTAATACTACATTTATTTAGAATATTCTAATACTAATTCTAATGTTCTAATGATGACCCTATTTACAGGTAAATATGATATAAATTTTATTCCATATTTACTGGCAGTACAGCCAATTTAGTTCAAATGTTAGTAGTAACAGTAGATGCAAGTGTGTATTGTTTTGACAGGGGTTTTGCAGAATATAAAAGATTAATCTGTTCAGTATCATTCACCTCTTTGTTGGTCTTGTTGACTTTCATCTCTAGGTCATATCTCTCCTCATCAGTCTTGTCGATTTTGCGATGGATTTCTCTACACAGTTCCTGAACAACAACACAGAACAGGACCATGTCCAGGTGAGTAGGTAAAGAATTTCAAGAATTGTATGGATGTTGTATTGGTAATTGCAACACATGTGACTGACATACCTGCAGTTCCTGCATGCTCCGTGGCAGAGAAGGAGGAGGACAGCTCTCAGCCATGTACCTCCCCCTCTCCTCCTCTCGTTCTATCTCCTCCTCTTCCAGCAAATCTTTGGCGATGGAAAGCATCAAACTCTGTTGAAAAAAACATTAATAAACAAACAAACTAACAGTATGAAGTACTTGGACGTCAACTGCCTATAAACCAAAATAAGAAAAGCAACGACTCTCTCAGAAACAAACCTAAGTCATTGTTTTACCTTCAAATGATGCTTCCGACTCGAAGACATCTTTTTTCTGATATAGGAAAAAGACAATTCAGGAAAAGGAAAAGTTGTTTTTCATTTTTCATATAGTTTGTCAGATGAGATGTAGCCCAAATAAATTTAAAAAAAACAAATTGATAGAAATAAAAAAAAAAACCACTTACTCCGACATGTTTTCGTGTTTTTCTTCAAACCTGTAAAAAAAGTCAGATGAGATGTAGCCCAAATAAATTAAAAAAACAAATTGATAGAAATAATAATAATAAAAAAACACTTACTCCGACATGTTTTCGTGTGTTTTGCTTCAAACCTGTATTAAAAAATAATCATACATTTGGATTCTGATTAACATGACGAAACATAAAAAAGGTGAGAGTGGGGTGAGGCTGGATAGGAGCAGAACAGGAATGGCTAACATAATTAATCGCTGTACTTAGAGGAAACACAACACTGACATCAGGATTAGTGGTCAGCCTTGAGGAAAAACCCTTCTTCTAAATTAGGGCAAGGATCAGGGTGCAGTTGTCACCCCTGAGATTCCCTGTTCCGTGCTCTGGAAGATAATCAGGAAGCAACTGACTCCTCTGCTGCAAACAAAGGTCTCAGATACAAGTCCCTGACTCTTAAAATAGTGATCATTCCAGGAATGTGTATGTAACATCACAGCAAAAACAAATGTTCCTCTCTCATTGGGTATATCTAGATTACAAAGGCAAAACAAAGGATTCTGCAGATGATAAAGTGTCACAAGAAAGTGAAAAATCAAATGAAAAATATGTCACAAAATGACATGAAAATGAAAAATCTAAATAATACAGAAGATTAAATAATAATTAATTATGGTAATAATACATATTGTAGTGCTATCATAAAGTATTGTTATCAAATAGTGGATACAAATACACACAATGATTTTATTTTTAAAAAAGTTGGTCACTACTTTTACTAATTTATTGGATAAGTTCTTAATTTTTGTGCAATTATTTCAACAAATATTACTTAACTATTTACTGTTATTTGTATTTCTCCAAATGACATCAATATTTCTTAAAAATGAGTGACACCACAACCAGACCAAGCAACATTATACATTATAGCAACATAGCATTTACATCATGCCACTCTAACAATACACACATGCGTTTTTCTATTATGACATATAGAGCGAAAGATCATGAGATTTAGATGTATTTAACCTGTTATAAACAAAAAACATAAACAATAATAAATAACTGAATCAGCATTACAGCTGACTTCTCACAGCTGCTGTGATGAAGGCTTTGCCCCAATAACAAAGTATCAACTGAATGGTCATCCTCAGAAAACCAACAAGAGTTTTAAAGTGTGATGTGTTGCAGTGAGTACTAATTACATTCTTTTTTTCTAATAAAACAGCTTCAGCTTAGTAAATGGAATCATTTCTTACCTTTTTCCTGCAGATAAAACCAGAATGGAGCCTCAGCTTTGTGTGGCAGCTCGGTTCCTGCACCTTAAGGTTGGTTTATATATCCCAAATCTCTTAAGGAACTAGGGATCCCATCTTTCTCTTTATGGAAGTAGATTTTCCCATAGACCAATGGGTTCCAATTAGAGCTGACCCTCCTCCAAAATATCTCCTCCCTATCTGACCCTTATAAATATCCCTGTGATTTCCATATTGTTACAGTGTTAATATTATTTACCAACCAAAGTCTCGAAAGGAATGCAGCCTAAATTGCATAAGACCTTTGGAGTGAAAATTAACATTCATTATCTAATGAAGACAGCTGTAGGTTAACAAAGCCTGGCTTTGAATGGTTTTTATAGAAGGAAATCATGGCAGCAGCAGTGATGAAAGCTAAGGCTACAGCAGGTGGGAGGGCAAAGTGGCATTTCTAATAGACACGCCATTAGTAGCTGTTAACAGGAGTTGGCAAGGGAGAGGGGTGATGACAGGAAATAAGCAGAAAGGAAACTTTAGAAGTTACATGGAAATAAATAAATAAATAGTATTCATGTATCTTGAAGTTTTACTAAAGTGTAGAAGAATCTCATTGTTAAAGTAAAGCAATGATAAACATGTGAGGAACACAGGATTAAAGATGGGTACTTATTTTTTATTTAATAATCAAATAAACATCTTTACGGATAATAAAGTAAGAGATTAGCTTTTTCTGGTCTTGGGGTCCTGTGTTAGTGAGATGGTAGAGGAAAGGGATGTATTAATCCTAGCTGCTGATGACAGACAATCAGCAACAACTGAAATTATGAACCCCATGACGCTAAACCCATGGATGAGAGGAGTCTCTCACATCAGCTATGATACTTGAAATGGATGGAATTGCAAAATGGTATACTGCCAGCAAGAGTGCTCTGGTTCCATCTGAGGCATCTTGAGTGCTGACAATGGAGAAGCCCATCTTCACTCCTTCCGAGAATTGGCTGGCCCTGAAACATATCATGGAGTATGTCTGTGACCATCCTTACTGATGATCACACGTTTTCATGATCATTTCTGTACAACTAATTTAATTTCCAAATTGTTTGAAAAGTAGGTTTTTAAAAGCTTTGAGTAAAATTATTTCCTGGTCGTGGATGGCTTTGTAAAGTTTAATTCCAACCACTTTTGATTTCTCAGACTTCAGCTTCATCTCCCACTCAGTGTAAAAATATTTCCATTTGTTAATTGCAAGACTGCTAAATATAAAGTATACATATATATATAAAGAAATCAGATCCACATATTGTTTTCATAAAACAAAAAACAATATTCATTGTAGTTGGATGATTATCGAAAGATTGCTTGCTTTAATTGAATACTTATATGTGACTGTAGGAGTGACCAATAAATTCATAAATACCCTGTTCTTTGAGTTAAATTCTATTGTTATTTGTGAGAATTAAAATAAAAATTCTAATGGTTTTCCAAATGTGTACTTTCATGAGAGTAGAAATTGTTGCTTACAATAGTCCAATATTTTAAAATAAAAATTCTAATGGTTTTCCAAGTGTGTACTTTCATGAGAGTAGAACTTGTTGCTTACAATAGTCCAATATTTTATAATCTGTTTAATACATTTGAATGAGAATAAAAGCCAACTCATGGAGGCATGATATACACTACTAAAATGCTCATACAAGAGGTGAGGGATATTAACCATCATTAGCAGATGTTTGTCGTTGTCAAACTAACATGATGCAAAAGTATATCTAATAAACGTTAGATATACTGTATCTACAGCTATTGTAGAACTACCATTCCTTTGAACAACCTAATCAAAGCCTAATAGCTAAATAGCAAATAACTGTTTTTGGCTATTTAATACAATTCTGACTAAATATAACGTTGACATGCTTTTAAGGTAAAGCGTTTTTAAAAGGCTCTAAATACGAACGAATACGACATAGATGGAAACACAGACAAAGGGAGAGAGAGAGAAAATATACCTTATTTTCCCGCCAGTGTCCATTTTAGATCTCTGTAAACTTTTCATTATCCGTTAAGAACTGCAGCTAGTTGGTTTTACATTAAAATGGGCTTTTTGAAACAAATCGAAGTGGAAAACTTCAAGTCTTGGCGTGGAAAGCAAGTTATCGGTCCCTTTTTGCGATTTAACTGTATAATTGGTACAAATGGCTCAGGTAAGTGATGTTTTTTGTTTGTTTGTTATTTTTATAGTTGTATTGTTATATTTCAAGTCGATATAATAACCCGGAGACCTTAGCTCCCGATGCTAGCCGCTAAAGACCTAAATAGAACATTTAATGGATAGTAATAAAATTAATAGTTATAATAATATTTTTTTGTAGAACACGTAAGTTTCGTGGCTGAGTTTTATTCCTGGTTTGTATGTACTTGACAGAAGGATTCTTCTTGATTGACCATGAAATACCGTAAAAGTAATGAAGGCCAATTAGCATTTTGTTAATTATTCCACGGGTTTATTGATGGGCACATTGAATATAATCTAATCTCAAAAATACCTTTTACATTTACAACTACTGGAACTTAAGTTTAATAACGCCATCATCAATTTACGTGAATATTAGCAGGGACACTTAATGTGCTTAACTAAACCAGGCAAGTCCAATGTGATTGACGCTGTGAGTTTTGCCATGGGGGAGCGAGCCGCGGCTCTACGTGTCCAACACCTCAAAGACCTGGTTCATGGAGCTCATATTGGACAACCAGAGTCCGAAAGCGCCAGTGTGGCCTTGTGTTACTACGACGATGAAGAACAGCAGGAGACCATTTTCTGTCGGGGTATTACCGGTAAATTTAGTCTTAAAGTGTCCGTGTAACTGTCGGTTTTGTGACTGTTGTGTTTAATTGCAAAGTAAGTGTATTCTCTTGACAAAAATGCAAGTAAAAGTTTTAAACGATAATTGAAAAGCCAAAAAAGATAAGCCCCCAGATAAAAAATATTGTGCGATAACAGCGATGTGTGTAAACGACCATAGTTGAACAAATGACTTGATAGGCCGAGACAACCAGAGAGAATGTCAGAATTATAATAATAAAAAAAATATAAAATACAGGTTAGAATAAGGACCTGACCTGTTCATCAAGGCTTATTATAATAATACCACATTGTATATGACCACATTGTATATGATCACATAGCAAAAGACAGTCTGTGGCACTGGTTTTGTTTGTTTTAATGCTACGTTTTATTTTAAATCCTCACTTTGACATCTGTTGGATCTTTTTAGATCAGAATCATTGATATTAATATTTTATAGCACTGTTCTCTTTCCAGGTAATTCCTCTCATTATCGTATCAATGGCATAACTGTTACATATGCCAGATATGTAAAGGAGTTAGAGAAGATAGGCATCGTGACCAAAGCCAGAAATTGTCTGGTGTTCCAGGTAGGATGGCAATATTTAAAATGTTTCAAATGGTTAATATGCAAAATTTATGGTGGTGGAACTTTTACTACGTTTATAATACAGTTAGTTAATCCCAGTGCTTTTCCCCAGGGGGCGGTGGAGTCCATAGCTTTAAAAGACCCAAAAGAGAGGACTAAAATGTTTGAGCAAATCAGCCAGTCAATTGAGTTTGCTGCAGATTATGAAAAAAAGAAAGAGGCCCTGCTGAAGGCCAAGGAAGACACACAGTTTCACTTCAACAAAAAGACATCTGCCACTGTGGAGAAGAAGCAGATGTTTCGGGAGCAAGTGGAGGTAAGGCCAGAAATGTCAAGGGATACACATAAAAACTTTGATTTCAAGGTGACTTTTTAAAATCCCCCAGTTTTTTTATTTTTGAGGACAGACCACTTTACAATGTATGCCCTAGAAAATAATTATTATTATCATAAGGAAAGACTGGATTGGAAATACCAGTTATTATTTATTTTTGTTATATGCAACTTTTCTATCTGATGGCATATTGACCACAACGTATGTTGGCTCAAGGGTCTATCTGATGGCATATTGACCACAACGGGAAAAAACATAAGTTGGCTCAAGGAACACTCGATGTGAACTACATTTAAGTTGCCTTAAATGTGAAAACAGTTTTTGGATTGGCTGGAAGATTCACAGTCCTTTTTCTTTTTTCCAGGCACAGAAGTACCAAGCACTGGTCGACAGCCTTCAAGAAAATCGCCTGCAGCTGAGTCTGGCTGAACTCTATTATAATGAAAAGCACATCCACTCTCTCATCGACAACCTAGAGGAAAGACAGCAGGCTGCAGCAACAAATAACAACATGGCGCGCACCTTGGAGCAGACAGTAAAAACCCACAAGAAAGAACATGGGCGTCTCCTCAGGGAGCAGCAACAAGTTGAAAAGGAAATCAGGTGTGGTGGTGTTCTTTAGGCATGACATTCGTTCATTTCTCCTTCAATATATGATATTGTCGTTTTTAATTTGAATCTTGGAAAAAACATGTATAATGTCATCAATGTTTAAAAAAAATAAAAAACATGTATAATGTCATCAATGTTTACCTTCTGGTATGACCCTTATTTATGTGGCTCTGATTTGCTGAAGAAACTATAATTTAGATTTTATATACGCTTGAAATAAGGATTAAAAACATTTCTGTCTCTTTCACCCAGTGCCCAAGAACATGCCCTGTCGCAGTTGCGGTCACAGTATATTAAAATTAAGATGAGCATCAGTCATCACACAAAGAAGGTTGAGGATGCTGGAAAATCCCTGAAGAACAAATATAAATTGCTGTCTAAAAAAGAGCAGGACATAGAGGAGAGTCAACAGGAAATCAAGGAATTGGAACGGACCTGGAAGCACTATGAAAAGCAGGCTCAGCAGCAGAGAGCCTCTTACGGGAGGGACATTGAACTGGAGGCAGATCAGGTAAGAGTTAATCCATGATGTTGTCTCTTGAGCTGTTAAGCAGCCAGTAATGTGGCTCAGAGAAAATAAGAATCAGGCATTTTCACCAACGATATTCAAACTAATTGTTTTACTCCTGGTTTTTGCATGCTCCTAGTTTTTTGTTTTGGTGAAAATGCCTCTTTATCAGCTGTCTATATTGGCTCAAAGTTAATTGAAACCAGAAGCACGTTGAAACAACTTTGTGATTATGGCATGTATTTTTTGCACAGTTAGAGCGATACAAAGAGCTAAAGGTGACAGCTCGAATGCAGGCAGCAATCCTCAGGCAGCAGGGAGAGAAACTGCACTCGGAGGTGAAAGCAGGCTTTGAAAAGCTGTCTTTTGACCAGCGCAAAAAGAAAGAAGTGGAGGTGCTGCACTGTACTTTAAAACACACCTTTTATTATACTTTGTAGTAATATACTTTAATTATACTGCAACTAAAAATAATTACCTGCTGCAGGTCGGCATCAGGAACACCCAAAATCAGCTGGAAGACTTGATGCGTAGAGCTGAAAAATTAGAGGAGTACAACAAATCCTGCAAGTATGTCATTAGAAAATGTCCCATTTTGTACTTGAGGCTTTGAATCAGGATATTGCAAACAAAAAAAGTCTTAGTAGCGTACATCATAAAATAAATATAATTCCTAGGTTGTCTATTGAGGAGTATGGCCAGCAGGAGAAAAGCCTCATGGCTGAACTGCAGAAGGGCAAACATCGCAGTGAGGAGTTAAATGAGGAGCTGGGTCAGGTGCTGCAGGAGTTAAGAAATGCTTCTCTGGACAATCAAGAGTGCAAACGCCAGCTGCAACGCAATGAGCTGCTAATGAGGCTCCAAAGACTTTACCCTGAATCAGTGGTGAGAGAGATAACAGAAATGAAAAACATTAATTTATTTCAAAGTTATTTGAAAAGTACATAGCCATGAATTTAACATTTGTTGTTACAGTATGGTCGGCTGTCTGACTTGTGCAGTCCTATTCATAACAAGTACCTGCTGGCTGTTACCAAAGTGTTTGGCCACAACATGTCTGCCATTGTCGTGACTACAGAGAGAATAGCCCGTGACTGTATCTCATACATTAAGGTGGAACGTTCCGGGCCTGAGACCTTCTTGCCTATCGACTACTTAAATGTTAGTTGACAAAAAAGTTCAGTTGTATGTGTTGATTTCTTCTACAGCATAAATAATAATCCTAGCACTTTGTGTCCCAGGTGAGACCTTTGAAAGAGCAACTGAGGGAGGTGCCTGGTGCCAAGATGCTGGTAGATGTTGTCAAAATTAATATTACTCCAGGTGCAAACCAACTTAAAAAGGTGGTGCAGTTTGTCTGTGGCAATGCCTTGGTGTGTGAAACCATCAAAGAGGCTCAGCAAGTGGCGTTTGGCAGCCAGGAGCGCATCAAGGTAAGATCAGAGTCTATATTTAAATGACAGCTACCTGTGGCTACCATTTTTCACGTCTTCTGCAGACAGTGGCACTGGATGGGACGCTGTTTGCCAAGTCAGGTGTGATCTCCGGAGGCTCGAGCCATCTGCGCACAAAAGCCCGGTGCTGGGAAGAGAAAGATGTGACCAAACTGAGAGAACGCAAAGACCAAATAACCACTGAGCTACGTGTGCGTTACCACCATCAAAGAACAGTAAATAACATCTGGTCTTACTTAAAAGTCTTCAGTTAGTTTGTAATAAATGTTTCTGCTCCTTTTAAAAACAGTACTTGATGAAGCTGAAACGCAAGGAGTCAGACCTGAAACAGACCATAGCTCAGGCTCAGGGTTCTCAGATCCGCCTGAAATACTCCAAAATTGAACTGGAAAACATTAAGAAGAAAAACATCGTCAAATGCCAATCTGTAAGATCACATCCTTTCATCAAATATCCTTTTTAGCCTTAGTTAATAACCACTGTCATTTTATTGTTAAGGAAGAGATACAGAAATAAATTTAGGAAGCACACATAAGAAAAAGAAGACAAAAGATGTCCACACTTAGTAACACATAATACTATTTATCGTGACAACTTATTTGAAATATTGTGTCCTTGTGTTAATGAACTAAAATACATTTTAAATGTGCATTGGACACAGTGAGATTTCACCTTTTCAGAAGATAAGGTGTCTTCATCCTGTAAAACTGTGGTTTCAGGAGATCTCACGCATGGAAAGTGAATTAGCAAACCTGGACTACGAGATCAAGATTCAACAGGAGAGTCTGGAGACAAAAGAAGCCGAGATGAACATGATCAGAGACCAGATCAACCAGGTCAATGTTGCTTTTATGACAATACACTTGCAGTAAAAGTTAAAATAACAACATTGTTTTATACAATGTTATGCTTCTCACTAGGGGTTTAACGATCAATCACAATTTCTTTGTTCACGATATAATTTTATCACAATATTTTCAAAACAAAATGTTAATATTTGTGCCTAATAGTGTAATTAACTCTTGTATACAGATGGAGGACCTGGTGTTTTCTGACTTCTGTGCTGAGATTGGTGTGGACAATATCCGTGCTTATGAGCAGGAACACCAGGAACAAGTTACAGAGCTTGATAAGAAACGGTTAATTTATTTAAGTTACAAAATCTCTAATCAGTTTTGTAAGTTGTTCTGCCCTTAACATAGTGTATATCCCTTGCTTCAGGCTGGAGTTTCAGAGTCAGCGTGCTCGACTGAGTGCACAACTTGAGTATGAACAAGAGCAAATAGAGCAGCAAAAGAAGCAGCTGAACAAAATGGAGAACGCCATGAATGAGGAGAAAGGAATTGTTGCAGTGCAGAAGAAGGTAACGCTGTAATAACTTTGGTATGTGAAGGATAAGTAAACCTGACAGGTAATTGAAAAAATGAAATGTATGAATGAATTTTGTCATGATCTCTTTTTGATACTAAATCAACACATTAAATAATAAACATTATTTTGAGTATTACATGTCTGTATTTTATTGCAGGATGAACAAAAGGTACTGTTGGCGGTGGAAGAAGCTCAGAACAACCTGCTAGAGGTAGAGGATCAATTGCTGCATAAAAAGACACAAGTGACGGCTGCCAAAACTGAACTAGACCAGGAAACCCAGAGGCTTCACAAAATCCAGAAGTAAGATGTTATGGCCTGGTCCAAAGTAAATGTATACACAGCTGTGACAGCTGCCCTGCATTAACTGCATCTCTTTCTCTTTTAATCAGAGATTCTGTGAATTTGGAACGGGATGTGATGTTTGCAAAGACGTCCTTGGAGCAGAAACGATTGGTCAGACACAACTTACTGCTGGCCTGCAAGCTTCGGAGTCTGCCTGTCTCTCTGCTGTCAGGGATTCTGCAGGAAATTAGTGAGGTGCAGGTACGAGCAAAGCGAGGGGAAATCCTACCAGAACCTCCAGGATGTTCGACTCAATACAATGCTGTGTTGAGTCGAACATTAAACAATTAACGACATGGATTAATTTACAAATGACTTTGACTTGATCAGTCTGTTCTGTTAATTGATTTGTAGTTGGACACTGAAAGCACTTTGTTGTCCACTGACATCCATGAGAGAGAAGCAGAGATAACCATTGATTACTCTCAGCTAAAAGCAGAGCTGAAGGTGAGACATTGTGCTCCATCATTGGGTCCCATTGTCACAGTGCCTGCTTTGTTTACATGTCCAGGCTGTAGTGTTTTTACAACTCATTAATGCTGCATTAAATGATTTTGTTCACAGAATCTGGAGGGGGAGGCGGAGGTTAAAGCTCACCTGGAGAAACTGCAGAAGTTGGTGGACTCCCTAGAATTGGTGCTGCATCAGACAGCTGTTCCTAATATGAAAGCTCTAGAGAAGATGGTGGAAATGAAGAACAGGTTACAGGAAATAAATGAAGGTATTTCAAATTTTTACATATTCACTCGACATCCCAACTTGTAAAAAGTCAACCTCCTTACCAAAACAAAAGTTGTTACAATAAAATATAAAGACCTTTAAATGGTCTAATTTCTTTCCTGGAGAAACCTAAAAGACTGGAATCACTTAAAATCCAATTTATTTAGCTGAAGCAAATCAGGATAATCTTCCTCTCTCCTACTCTGTCCTGTGCTGTGCTTAGTTTCACATTAACAATCAATGCCTCACATGTGAATTCGTGCCAGCCTGCTTTAGATTCCTGGATATTTGAATTTATTTGCAGACATGAGTAAGCTGTTGTTAGTGCTGTTAGGCTCTTTACATTTCTGGAGACATCAGATGACTGCTTCAATAAGTTAACTTTTAAAATATTTTTTGACTCTGTGAATCACTTCATTAATGCACTATTGCTAAGCCGTTTAGGTTTTAGCTGATGAAGAAATCTACTACCAGTTTAAACCAATGTTAATTTGACACAATTTCTTTTCTTTCATTTCACTCAGCCTTTAGTGCGAGTTCCAAGGAAACCAAGAGATGCTCAATGGAGTTTGAGAAAGTTAAAGCCCAGCGTTGCAACAGCTTTGTAAAGTGCTTTGAACATGTATCTGTTGTGATTGATCAGATCTATAAAAGGATCTGCAGAAACAGCAGTGCTCAGGTGATGCACCAGAACTAGTCACAAAAATGATCTTTTTTGGAATTGTGATTAATGCCAAGTTTAGTGTAATCAAATCTACTTATTAAATGTGTAGAGGCCTGAAATTGTAAAATTTAATTAGAGAAAATGCTGCTGTATGTTCTCCAGGCCATACTGTGTGCAGACACTCCAGATGAACCATACCTTGGAGGCATCAACTACAACTGTGTAGCACCAGGAAAGCGCTTCATGTCCATGGACAATCTGTCTGGTGGAGAAAAGGCCATTGCTGCTTTGGCTTTGGTGTTTGCCATCCACAGGTAAACCTGAAAGTTAAGATAAACTAAAAGATATACATTTGTTATTGTTATAATTTTTAAAATTTTCTTTAACATTAGTTAAATTTCTCAGAAGTGTGGTGGTTACCTTGCAATTTCCAGAATAAAGTTTCTCAGAGTTTTACTCTTCTGTGACCTTATTGGACTATTCCAAACACTGAATTTAAGTTCCGATTACAAATATGCAATTTCCAGAATAAAGTTTCTCAGAAGAACATTTTGACATGTTGGTATATTTGCATGGATCAGTAGGACATTAACACTAACAGTGACATGACTGTATTGGTGTATAATAGTTTTACTTTCTGTGACCGTATTGGACTATTCCAAACACTGAGTTTAAGTTCCGATTACAAATCAGATCAGTGCCAATAAAAAAGTAATTTGATTACCCTTTTGTTTTCACTTCATCTCATACTGTTGTGTTGTTTCTGTGGGAAATTAGTAAAAAAAAAACCTCTTATTTCTTGCAGCTTCCGTCCTGGTCCTTTCATCATCCTGGATGAGGTTGATGCAGCCCTGGACAACACCAATATCAGCAAAGTAAGTTTACTGAATAAAATAATTATTCAGTATTTGAACAAGGTAATCATTCAAGTTAATTGCATATCCAACTTTAGTTAGCTTGTAGCTTTAGTTAACAGTTAGCTTGTATTTTTTGCCTTGTGTTTTGTCTGATGTGCATCTTCTGTACATACTACAGGTGACTAGTTTCATCAGGAAGATGTCCCAAAAGAATTTGCAGGCCATCGTCATCTCTCTGAAGGAGGAGTTTTTTTCCAAAGCCGATGCTCTGTTCGGAGTCTACTCTGATGTAACAAGCGTTGAAAGCGGAAGAGAATCTTATGTATCTGATGGGATTATATTTTAGTCTCTAAAATATGTTTCTCTTTCTCACAGGTGGATAAATGCATGTTCAGTCGCATCCTGAGTTTGGACTTGAGACCATACCCTCTGGCTGAAGAAGAAAATGGGGAACACATGGGCTCTGACCACTAAATGGAGATACTACAGAGGTCACCATGCTCCGAGAGACCTGCATAAGAAAGCCCCATAAGCTAAGCCTTTTTTTCTTTACATGTTGAAAAATCTATTATCTAAATTCCAGGTTCCCTTTTAAAAGAGTTAACCATATGTTTTGTAGCAATTTACAGTTTTCTGTGTTCAGTGTTCTGCTGTTTCTTCTTTACACATACCAGTCTAAATTCAAAAACTTCCAAAACAGAAACTGTATTTTTGCAATATTTGTTTATGGTAGTTTTCTGGGATTTGTCTTTTCAGTTAATAGTGGTCAACCAGTTGCTGACCAACGCTAGTATTTGTTTTCTAGCTGTTTCATATTAAACATTTGACATTGAGTTAAGCAACCAGTTGCTGACCAACGCTAGTATTGTATTTGTTATCTAGCTGTTTGATATTAAACATTTGACATTGGTAGCTCAGTGTAGATCATTTTAAGACTTTCACTATTTTACTATTTTAGAAAATGTTTCCTGAAAATGATCTTATGGTGATAAAATTGTGTGAAAGAACATCCACATTGTACATGTAGAGAATTTAAGCATAACCTTATCAACTTTAATATTAAACATGTACAGTTAGAACCAGAACACAGGATAAAACAAAGAAGAGAAGTAGAAAACAGTGTACATACAGTATATAACAAAAAAATAAACAAAAACCCACCTAAACTTAAAACCTATGACAACCTGGTGTTATTGAAAAGTCAAGTGGTTCACAACGAGCATCTAAAAGGAAAAGTTACCTTAAATTCAACAGGACAAAAAAAAATTCTATGATCTGAAGAGCTAATCTAGAATGAATGGAGCAGTCCTGAGAAGGCGTAATCATTGGCATAGATGTATACAATATACTGTATGTGTATGTAAGGAATTTAATTCTGAGCTTATGTTTAAAGAATCCTGTTCCTGAAAAACACACAGAGCCTCGAATATGTACATTATTTCCATCATAAAGAAATCCAACATGCTCTCTCAAATCTTTTGTGCTGCACGTTTAGGTTTTAATCCCTTTAGTTATTGTCTTTATATAAAGGTAGTCATGGAAAAAATATGGAAAGTAAAAGATTAATCTAAGAGTTATTACAAAACATATATATATTTAGTGTAACAGGAAAAAAATACATAATTCTGGGAAAGGTTTATCAAATTTTAGGATGTATGGCACAATGTTCTGTATTTCTGACATTGGTTAGCATGAAGTTGACATACTTTGACTATCAGTTTGCCTACCATTAAGGTTTGTGTAAACACATCAGAAATCAAAGGCTGTATATAAGAAATGGGGGCAGCAGTATTTTAAAGACTACAGCAGCTCAGTGTCTTATTGATGCAATCAATGCATGCAGCCAATGTGAGGTCTATGTCAATTTTGTAACTTATGGGTCAAATCTGTTAAATAATATAGTTAAGCAGGAAAAGTGGCAGCACATTTTTGCACACAACATACTTACGTAGTTATTTAAATTTTGGGTTGAAGGTAACATTGGTTACAGTTAAGTTAAAAATCACTATGGCGCATCTTCATACGACAAATCTCATGGCTTCAACACAGCATTTCTCTATTTCTTATATACAGTCTATGACAGGGATTATATTATTGCTAAATCAAAAAAACAAAACAAGGGTTGTTTTTTCTTAGCATATTTAGACTTGAATGAAATTATTCCTATTGGTTGTTTTATCTAAAGTGAACATTTTCGTAGAAATCTGAAGACTTTGATTTAGGTCCATGACGACACCCACCACTGACATCACAATACAAAACATTTTGGATATTAGTGTCTTCTCCAACAATGTAAACATCATTTAACACTTCTGTATAATATCTATGTAAGAGGAAACACTTTGAAAAAGCTGCAAAATCCTTGTTTCTTCTATTGCCTATATGGTCACAAACCTAACAGTCAGTTTTGAAACCCCACTTTTTTCCCAAAAATAAATTTATTAGAGGTCTAGACAAATTCTACACAGTACGTGGTAAATAAAGTATGTTTTGTAATGGCAATAGGTGTCTGCAAATATTTCATTTAGAAACATAACATAATACGGTTTGATTAGCAAATGTACCATTTAGCTCATAGATCAAAATTTAACACGCAGACATTTATGCGAGAGGACTAGGCCATTTAGTCCGGTATAAAGCAAGTACTTCAAACTGCACCACAACTGGTTTAGAAACCTCAACTGTGCAGTCAGCTGTACTAGGATTTTTACATGACAGCCTTAGCCGTTAGCAAGATAGTTAACCATGAGAAGTAAATGCTCTGTATATTTTACATATGATGTACATTTTCTTCTTTTACAATGTTGTGAAATTTGATGGAATCATCAGGGAGTGTCATAAAGCTAGCGTCACTATGCTAGGGTAGATAAGCCAACTCTCCATAGCTATATCAGTGTACTTTAGTCTGACACTTAAAAATCTGTTTAGTACTACATCAATTAGGCCACTGTGGTAAATGCATTCCAATTTGATTTTTGAATTGACAGTGGTGCTGTTCATCCATTCCTGACAAATAGTCATTTAAATAAATTTAACATTAAAAGGTTTAATGACTGGCCGGTTTAACCTGACCGATGGTAAACATTACTCAAATGCTGTACAGCAATTAGACATGTAAACACTAGCTGTTAAGTTTGTTTGATGGCAACTGTTAAGTTTGCAAGCAATTATTTGTATCCTAGAAACATAACTTACCTTGGCAATGATCTTATTCACAGGCAATATTCTTTGAAATATGGAATCTTCTAGCTAACACTGAAACTGAGGTGTAAGAATGGGGGAAAACTAGAAGTAATTGTAACATGTTTCCAGTGGGATGGTTGTGTGTGTTAGCAATACTGTTTCCTGTTGTTCAATAACAAGTCTTACATATTCAAAAAAAACAAAAAAAAAAAAACATGTGAAAGCCATTTTAATTTAATGCTTTCATCCACTTCTTTCTTGTACTTCCTTCACCTTCCCTCGGCCTTCCTCTCTCAACTTTTACAAAAGTAATTATGGATTATTCCATTGAGTATATACTTTGTTATACTTTTCAAAACAAAAATAGAGCATTGAGAAGGAAGAATAGTAGATCAATCCGTATATTGGGAAAAACCTAGAGAATGTACGATGACTACATGTCTACAAATGGCTATGCATGGTCCCTGCCATGTGTTTACTCAGTACTGTCGGCTCAGAGGAGCTCAGATTTCTCCTCATTGTCAGGACACATAGGAAAATAGACTTTCACAGAGACATGCATTCCTCAAGAAAATAATTACTTCTCCAGAAACGTAGTAAACCCCTGGAGTACTATGGGTATTTATTTGCACGTCTGCTGTGTGTTTAATGGTATACGTGTGTACGTTCTGAGAGCCAGAATGAATAGAATCCGAGTTGGTGTAAAACCAAAGTGACCCAAAGTTGCGTCTCTTTTTAAAAGATCTTTCCTTTCTTCTTGTTCTTCTCCATTGTCCTGTGCAACAAAGAAGAACAGAGTTTCTTCACTTACCAATATTTATCAAGTACTGCATTTACTAGAAGAGTGTGAAAGAGGGCGTTGCTCTGTGTGTGTGTGTGTGTTACTGACTTGGAGGCGTCCAATTTCTGCTGCTCCAGGATTCTCTGCTGAGCCTCCCAGTTGGCCTTTTCCTCCTCAAACACTCGTCGTTTCTCCTCCAGCTCTTTGTACTGAGCCTCCAAATTCCTTTTCATTTGCTCGTGGCGTCGCTCCAGCTGGAAAGGAGGAATTCAAGTAGTTTAGTTTAGTTTGTCAAAAAGGTGACTAAATATTTGGAAATTAGATGCTTATGCTGTAAAAAATGTTGATTGTACAGCTTCTAAAAGCATTAGCAGTAGTGCACGTGGTAATTTAGAAGCTTGGGTTTCCCCAAATGATGCATGGTCTAAAAACTGTTTTGTGGATGAACAGCTGTATGTTAAAGAGAAAGTCACTAGATGGCAGCATTGCAGCTCATTGTATTGGCTTTGCTTATTGAATAATCAGGGGAATCTTTTGCAGAGTATTGGTGCCAGCACCTCAATACAGTGGTTTCTACAGATGAGCAAATAAATATTACCAGGCCTGTATCGGTTGACATCGGAAATTAAGTGTTTGGAAAATATTGGATATTGGCAAAAAGTTAATATTGGACATCCCTACTAAATGTCCTTTGTGATGTAATCTTGGGTTTTCCCAAATCCCCAAAAGTAGGGATTTAAGGACTGGGTGGTATTGAACCCACATCCTTCTGGTGGCAGACATGAAGACCTGTCTTATGTACTCCTTAAACCCACCTCAGCCTCTGAGTCCTTCAGTTTCTGCTTCTTCTCCTTGACCTTCATTTCAAACACTTGCTCCATTTCCGCCTCCATCTTCTTCATTTTCATCACGTGCTCTCTCCTTTCCTCCTCCATCTGTGCTAGAGGACTTCTGTGGAGCCAGGAATCATGTAGTCAGTGTCTGGTTTTTATTTATAACTCAGCTTAGCAACATTTTGGTGATTTTCCTCAACATAGACTAAGATTAAAACTACATTGACATGTTTTATGATGATTCAGTGCCGTCCTACTTGGTGAGCTGCCCCTTGGTCTTGGAAGTGTCCACTCCGTTACAGGTAACAGCTGCAAGTTTCTTGGAGCGATAATTCTCATAGTGGACATTATTGGTGACGTCCTTTAGATCCTGCATGTGTGTCCTGTGGGAGAATCGGTAGAAAATATTAAAACTACATGCATGAACAAACCAGAGGGAGGGCAATCAAAAAGGACTTGACATAAGTACATTTACCTTTAAATTAATACATGTAAAAATATTAAATATTGAATTTTTCTTTGCTCGTCAAAGCAACAAAGGCAGAATAATTAAATACTCTTCTGCTAGGTGGCAGCAGATGGCTAGGAAAACTAAAAAAAAAGCTAACAGGAGCTATTGAAGAAAATCTTTGTGAGTGTCTTTCTTAAGTTTCTGCCATTATATCAGCATTGTCTTCAACTAAACAGGAGTAGTTTCACTAAATTGAAACCAGAACACTATTATATTTCATTACATATACTTTTTCCTGAGATTTTTGTTTGGTGGTGTGCCGTAAAGAATAACTTGTCTCACCTGATTAGCATGTTGCGCAGCACGGTGAAATCACAATGTTCTCCGTTCTCCACTGCAACACAGAGGGGAAAAAGGAAGACATTTTTATCACAATTATTATCCATGAACAAGTATCTAAGAATCAGAATAATATCCTATCAATACTCCAAGAACCTGAGGCCAACACTTGAGCTTCTAAACTTCTGTTGATACCTGCATTTGACAGGTGCAAAATTATTTTGAATTAAGAAATGGTGAGAGGATTAAGGCTGAAGATATCAGCTCAGAACTAAAGAGAACAAGTATTGTTTAGCCATGTGTTAAACAGACAGTCCCAGTCCAAACACACATCTTTGGTGAGTAAAACTAACACAGGTACGAGATGCGACAGAAATAAGCTTAAAAACGTAAGCAAAGCGACCATTAATTTCAATGGATATTATTTACATATAGTAAAAAAAGACGCACACAAACAATCAAACATACCCACACAAACATACGTAAGTCAGTAATTAGAACATCAGCAAATGAATAATAAGTTATTTAATGATATTTAGTAATACTGCTGAGTTCGCCCCCTATATGACCGTATCAGTAGGTCAAACAGACAGGACGACAACAACAACAACAAATGTGTCTGCCCAGATTAGAAAACACAAGTAGTCTTCTGAGATTACGGTTGGATGATTGTTTCACTGAAACTCAGACAAATACAGGGTTACAAAGTCAGGTGTGAGTCCAGAAACGGACTGCAGATGCTGCTATTTAGTGTTTGTGTGTGTTTGTGCACGGTTGATCCCTCCAACTGCTTTTCATCAAAATATGCCGCTCCATTTGGAAAAGCTCCATCAGACAGGAAATCAGCCATCATTAGGAGAGTGAACATTGTCACCTTACCATTGATGAAACTTAAGCAGTCCCGCCCCTCGGCCTCCACAGCCAGCCATTGACCTCCTGTTTCTTCTAGAGGAGGGAGCTCTGACGGAGGGGAGGGGTATGGTTTTTCAGTTACTGTCTCTGCCCAGAGGTGGGGGCTAAATCTGGGTCTGGAGCAGCTGGGAATGTTACAGCTCAGTATTTGGCCCAGTTTGGACCTAGATCTGACCAATGCTTGGCTCACATTCAGCCCAGATTTGGCCCAGGTCAACACCACTGCCTGCATGTGTCCAGCTAACTGGATATAGAGGCTTGCAGAGGGAGAACGTTGTTATTGAAGGGGGTGTTACAGGAGGATTTACTGTTTGTATGTCCTGTTATGTACAGTCTGGATGGGGGGGCGGGGGAGGGGGTAGTAGAGGAGCTAAGGTAGGGGTCGAAGGACAAAAATAGGAATCTTTTCTGATGTAAACCACAAAACACCTGATGCTTAAGTATTGACATCCAAACTGTCACCGTTGTCTATGATCTATCAGTGACCCATGGACATCAATATCACGGTGCATCAGGTGCCTTGAGAGAAGCACTGGATTTAGCTTAATCTATTAAGGCCATGATGATGCACTGAGTAAATGAATCAAGAAGTAAAAGCTTTCTTTTTTTGCAAACATGCAACAAAAGCAAACGTGTCCATGGTTTTCGGCATGTATGTAGTTTTGTAAAATCTGAGATTAAACTAATGCTGATGAATGCGATTTAATGCCACATGTTATCTTGGCGGCATAAATGAGCAGCTGCATGCCCGTCTACTACACTACTACCCACAAAACCTGTCTGTGATCCTATAAGCCAGGGGTGTCAAACTCAAATTCAGTGGGCCAAAATCAAAAACTGGGACGAAGTCGTGGGCCAAACTCAATATTCAGTGGAAAATTCACTGCAACTGTGCATCTTCTTCCTTCTCTCCAGATCTGTAATGCTGACAAACTTTAGATTTGCGTACACACCAAATCTGGAACAACTGGAAAAACTTAATGTAATAAACACATGAGAAATTAAATTTGCATCTTCACACACATCAGTGGTATTTGTTTCTTATTATGTCTCTCCATCTCCGGCCTTTTGAGTTCCTTTTTAATGTAATTTTTTTACAGGCCAACAAAACAACAACCACAAATGTATGTGCTATAATATCGTGCATTCTTCGTAATACTACAAATCCCACCAGTATATTGGGGATTTATAATAGCAGGCCAGCTCTAACACACATTTGATATGATCTCGTGGGCCAAATATAATCACGCCAGGGTCCAGATCTGGCCCGCGGGCCTGAGTTTGACACCTGTGCTCTAAGCAATGTGTAGCCTTGTGGATCCCTGCCTTTAATCCAGTGAGACAGAAAACTCAAAACGGGCAGAGTGCTGCACTTGTTACCACATGGAAATAAAGATGGGACCCACAGCGTTAGAGTGATGTTTGTGGTGATTCTATTGCAGCTGCAGCCTTACCACAGAAACCAACTCTGGTTTGAACCATTCCTGTATGAAAAGCATCAGACCTGGGATAAAATCATTTCTGTTTGAAGCATGTTTAAGGGAGATGATGTGAGATCAATGCACCTTACAGTGTGCAAAAATGACCTTTCCCCTACATCAGGGCTCACTTCAGTGGTTACCAGCCTAGTGATTCACCAACACGGCCCTAAGTGACTATGTGAGAAAAGCACAGAGCCAGTTCTGAACAAACCTGATCTATGACGTATTTTAAAGCTCCAGGTTCAGCTTTAAGTTAAATTATCAAAGGTTTCTAAGTCATGTTGAGTGAATAGTATTCAACCCAAGTCTGATCAGAGCATCGGTTTGACCATCAGCCGAATGATGAGGAAGCACAGCAACAGAAAGATGGAAGGAAAAAAGGGGTGGAGCATTTAGATGGAGGACACTAAGGGGGGGTGGGGTGGGAGGGAGAGTGGGATTTAAATAAAGTGAAAGATGGTTTTGTTTACCAAAAACGCCCTCTGTCAGTCATGAAAAAAGTAGACAAAGAAAAAAAGGAGAAAAGAAAGAATGAAGAGGTGAAAGACGGTCAACCACAGAGCAAAGATATTACTTTTCACAGAGAGGGAGAGAGAGAGAGCGAGAGAGATAGGGAAACAAAGAGAGAGAGATAGAGAGAGAGGGAAACAAAGAGACAGGGCAGATCATCTTTCAGGGGAATATTACACAAGTCACAACATTAGGAGAAACTGCAATTGGAGGTCATCGAATACTGGAGTTACATACTGCACATGTACTCCATATACGTGTGTGTGTGTGTGCAGTACATGATGAATAAATACAACCTTGGGTTTATCAGACTGCACTGACAGATAATGTTACCTTCCTGAAATGTCTGCTAATGTAGCATGTCCCCAAACACACACACACACATGCACACACATAAAACACGTTTTCCTCGGGCCTCTGCTGCCAATCACTATATTGTGAAGAAAGAACTGGAAAGAATATGTTATGACAATGGAAGGTCTGACTTTAACTTTTTGCCGATATCTGATATACTGATATCGTCCAAACGCACCGATACCGACAAAGGCCTGGTGATATTTATTTATCAGTATAAACCACTGTATGAGTTGCTGTCACCAGCATTCTGCATATAATCCCCTGATTATTAGAACTGAATAATAAGATGAGCTGCAATGCTGCCATCTAGTGACTTTAATACTTTAATATACAGCCGTTTATCCCCAAAACTTTTTTAGATCACACATCATTTAACCATTGAGTTATGCAGTTTTCATTATCGGGGAAATACCAATAAAGATTCTTACGGATAGATTAGATAAGTATGCTAATACCGGTCCGATAATATCAGCTGACCAATATTATTGGACATTCCTAGTTATGACCACAACTACATGTACTGACCGGCCCTTACTATAGTTGGAGGGAAAGTCAAATGGCTCCACGTGTGACTCAGACCAATCAGCAGGTGCTGCTTGTCCATTTGAACAATCCAAAAAATAATAATATCTGAACACTTCTGTGCAAAATAAACATGTTTCAACAGCTCGGACACAAACCAGGAGTTTTCCTTCTCTCGTTTCTACAAGTGAACCACAGAGAACCAACCTTCTGCCACGCCCCACGGATACTGGCGACCTCTGACCTTCTTCCCATTCACCTCGATCACCACGTTGCTTCCGACAACTGCCAGGGGCATTTTCTCCTGAAGTGGGGAAGACAATAAAACACAGGGAAACAGTTATTTACACCTGTAAAACAGCTGACTCTGGTCACCCTTCAATGACTCTTCCTCAAAATCAGTTCAGCAGTTTGACTGTCAGACAACAGGGTTAGACGCAGGGCTGAGGGTTTTACTGACAACCATCTGTCTGTCTGTCTGTGACTCTGTCTGTCTGTTCTTATCTGTCTGCCTGCTGATGCCAATCCACTGGAGATTGTGAAGACTCCCAGACGAGGCTCTGGTCCTTTACCTTTATCTTTCGGATGAGCTTGTTGTCCTCGTCGTCCTCTGTGTCTGGGAACTCATAGATTTTGATTTTGTGTTCCTGGATTTCTTTCATAATCTGTGAAAAAGATTATACAGTTACAAACGTAGCACACAGACACCAGGGTGGAGGGTTTTTTTTTTATATTTACACCACCTTATTTAAGTTAAACAGCCGCTGGTTGCCAACCATTTGACCAGCTCAACCTGTTCTAGTGTTCTGACATATACATTTTTTCTTTAAATATTAATTAAATTTGACTTGAGTATAAGTTAGTACAAGAACCCATACCTGTTTTTTAAACAGCTGGCACTCCTCAGGAGTCAGAGTATCTGCTTTCGCAATGAGAGGGATGACGTTGACTTTGTCATGGAGTCTTTTCATGAACTCGATGTCCAGAGGTTTAAGACTAAAAACAAAAGACAGCAGGAGGTTTATTAGACCTACAGTAGAAACAACAGGTTTATTCCACCAAAGAAATAAATCATATTTAAATAACTAAATGTTTCATCAGTGATGAATCTGGAAAAAACTGATCATATTGGAGCGAATGCCTGCTGACATTTCTGCAGTTTTTTTGTTATCATGATATCACATAAGGACATTTTTTTCATGCACAGTTGCTAACATTTATTCTTTAATACAGTGTGTGCTGTACATTATTCTACAAGTTAATAGTTCATCAGCGTACCTTGAATGGTTATAGAAATGTCAAAAACCACATTCACAGACCACTTAGTTCCTTATCGTTTGTCATATTTGACATCATGCTCCTTTGAAGGACACTTGATACGATGACATCATCCATCAATTGAAATATAACTTTACTTTAGGCTCCCTCACAGTGAAGTCACCTGTGCGTCACACTAAGATCACTAAGACTGATGCATTTAATTGATAATATTCAATCATTTTCAATAGTTTTAGAAAAACTAAACATTTCTAAACCAAAAATAGTTCTTTAGGTCACCAGCAGGGGGCGGATTACACCCACACATTGCACGTGTAACGTCAGCAAAGATGCAAATGAACTCATAGCTGTCTTTTTTCAAGCTCAACCACAGCTTGTGTATTTTCATTGTTTTTTTTTATTGATATATCGTTTTTTTTTTCTTTTAAATTCCAAATCCGATAGATGTGGCTTTTTTCTCTTTATTGTTAATGTCCGTGAAAATGATTCATATAATGTGACATTTGTTGTGTATAATGTGGTTGTGGGTTTTTTGTGTCATGTAGAGGAGGAGAACTTCTCCACTCAGGAATGCTAAGGAACAAAGAGGGCAAAAAACCAGCTGTTAAGTAGTTCAGTAGTTCACAAGGTGACGCAACGTGAGTGTAAATGATGGACTTGTTAAGGACAGGGTCAGGAGGCTGCGTACGCAGCAGCAAAAAAGGGCAGCGCAGACTTCGGTGTCTAGTCAGTGGCGATAGAAAAGTCAAATACAATTGTCGATTTTTATTCTCCAGTGCAGCCAATCAGGGTGGAATCATCTGACAACAAACCCTGACTTCTCAGGAAGTTATTTGTGAACTGTGACAAATGGCTTCTTAAAAATGCTAAGCCTGTCCTCAAGTGTTAGGTCAGTGACATTAGTTTTTCAGTCTCGAGGCTCTGACGGTAAATCTTGGAGAAGCCATTCCAGGAACTCATAAATCATCATCCAATCAGGAGCCAGATCCCTGTAAAAAAAAAGGGCGTTCCTGTTTGTCAGCCATGAATGCCTCCACTCCACTCTGAGGTTTGCACCCCAAACATTCAGATAGTGGGTTTGGCAGGGGCAGTGTTCAAGTCCCAACAGTCTTTTTGCTCATCAATGACAGAAAAAATGGAAGGAATTATTTCTTGTGTCATTTCAAACTACTTGACAGTGGATATGCAAATATATCAAACCACTCCAGTCGTCAACAAGTCCATTGAGATCCACATGGTATAGAACAGTGAGGTTTTTAAGATCTTTGTGTCTTTCTTTAATTCCTGCCAGTATATTAGTGTTGACTTCAACTAAAGAGGATTACATTTTTAGTAATTTCATAGAGATTTTTATTTAGTGTTTTATTTTGGTGAAATATTTTTATTTGATGGTGTTTTTCCTGATGATGTAAATGTGCTGTGGCTCAAAAAAGGTTGGGAAACACTGGTATAGAATATCAACCCCAGTCTGGGGCATTGTGACCCTGCTTAAAAATCCACTTGAACCCACAGGGAGGACCTGCCAACATGGATGGGAAGCTTACAATCATGAGGGCAGAGAGAGAAAAAAAAAAATATATATATATATGTATGTATTGGGACGAGATTATGGTAAAAAAAAAAAACAGCTGCAAAACTGACTTTGTTTTTTTGGTTTTGGTTTGTTTTCCATTCAGCATGACTTTTTACTAATGTGAAAAGTAAAGTAAATATGAAAAATGGAAAAAACTATCTCCAGGTGAACGAAGTAAACACTGACAGAGGACATTTAAGATTTTCCAAAATAGAACAAACCGGTAAACTACTAGACAACATTCATGCAGTCTGTTAACTCTGTACTAGTTTCCTCTACAACTCTCCGTGCCAGTCGATGAGGACACATAAAAACGATAATACAACAATAAAAGTGATTAGCAGCCATAACAAACATTTTGACATGGAGCCCACACAAACCCTGGGTGTGAAAATATATCCTTCCACAACATTTAATCAGGTCATGAGCAGCTATAAAAAAAAAAGAAAAGACAGACGCTGACTGTATCCTCCCCCAGTCCAAAACTGCTGTCATAATACGAGACGAGATGCAAAAAAAAAAAGATTCCAGCCTCTTGGCTGTTTTGACCAACTACTGTTTGCGATGGAGCGCTTCAGTGATGGAGAGCGGAAGTGTACTGAGCATGAGCAGAGCTGGGTTATATAAGCTTTTGTGGGCCACAACCACTGGCAGTCAGCCTCCTCTTCTATGGCACAGACACACTCACTATACCCAGCACGGAGGAAGAGGAGGGTGGAGATGCAAACTCCACCAAAACAAATCTCATTTTCACCAGACTTGAAATAGATCTATATTCAAGTAGAATGTACTAGTGCAGTGGAATTCAAATGTTTTAAGACTCGGTTTAAAGTCTACATCTACGTTTTTTTCTGACAAAAATATTTGTTTTAAGACTCGGTTTAAATTCTACATCTACGTTTTTTCTGACAAAAATATTTGCTTAAAAAAAAACAAAAAAAACTTACATTTTAAAGTTATAGCTGTGAATGTGTCAGCAACAATAATCCGATCTACACAAGAGGGCGCTGTACAAAACATTTGGTAACCACTGCTTTGAAAAGACCTTCATCATTATCTCTTCCATGATTCATCACACTTGAGCCTTACCCGTGTCCAGAGGGGGCGATGAAGTACAGGCAGCAGTGGACTCTGTTGTCTGGCATGGATCTGCGGTTTACCCTGGACTCTGCATTCAGGAAATCTTCACACTTACTGTCGATGTAGTTTATGACTGGCTGCCAACTGTGGAGGTGGAGAAAGAGTCAGGAGGCAGAAAGAGGCGAGGAGCAGCTACGGTCTGGTTTTTTATTTGATATTTTTCACAAACTGTTTTCTCTAACAAACCCCTCACCAGTTGCTGTTGTCGACCGCATCTCCAAACCCTGGTGTGTCCACAATAGTGAGTGTCAGCTGGACGCCGCCTTCTTTAATCAGCACTTTAGACTGCTCCACCTGAAATACAACACACCTTCATTAATACCTAGCTCTAATCTTCAACAACCAGCCTCTGTTTACAGTCAACACATTGTAGACAGACCTAACAACTGAAAAGTTGTCTGTAAGAATAAACCCATGCTCTGTGTTTGTGAACCTGTTGGACACGGATTCATCCTCTCTTCACACCCACACCGTCACACTGCTGTGGAAGACTCAGAGAAACTCATCTGCTGCCAAACTGACTCCACTCTAGACCAGTATGGAGGGACTGGAGTCACTGCCTTAATTTCCCGATGAGAATGAAGTTCCATCTATCTTAGGGATGTTCCGATATTAACTTTTTGCCGATATCCGATGTGCCAATATTGTCCAAACCCTTAATTTCCGATTCCGATATCAACCGATACCGATATATGCAGCCGTCTGGGGAAAAGGGAGAGTACGCATTTCATTGTGTGCTGTGTATAATAGTCAGTAAAAGAAAGAGAAAACACGAACAGACGGCAGCTCACGGCCCCTGAATACTCCATTATGGCTTATTTTCTTTAACATTCCTACTGATTATACCTATTAGGTGTATTATGTATTGACTATAAATATATAAAGTAAATCTGTTTATGCTTTACAAATGACTTCCACTTCCAACAACTAATGAAAGACACGCTGGAAAAATAGAGTGAGATTGACAAAACACAACACTACTATGCTGTACTATTGTTTAGATATTTGAAGTAACTAACGACGTCTGCCCACGTCTCTAAGTTTGAAAAAGCAGATAAAACCAATCTCACTCCTCACAATCAGTCCCACTGATCCATCATTTCCTGCAGCTCGTCCACTCGTTCCCTCGCTCTGCCGCATACTTTCACAAGGCCATGGTTATTTTAGGATCCCCCCTTTAACTCAAACTACAGCCCTCTCGCTCTAACACAAACATTCTTCAGCTTCCACAAACCTTCACATCATCTGTCTTACTTTACAGCCAGGCGTATATATATCACGCTGCGCAGTCTTTTGACATATCTGAGTCTAATTGTGCGTCCAGTGGGTGTTAAAATCGCATTTGTCCCACAAGTGTTTGTTCATGACATGTTGGCCGTCTCCAAACCAACTCTGCTTTTTCCACCGTTTTCTGCGAAGGAAAACAGATTGGGAGAAAACCTCAAGAATGCCCCGAGTCTCAACACCATCATTTAAAAAGAAATCTGATCTTGAGCAGAATGTGAGTGAGCGACACCACGTGAGATTGTTCTGAAATATAAATATTCCGACTCGTCTCTTCTCCTCGGTCTCCGACCACAGCGCCCACGGCAGACACACTTGTGCTGGGGAACACTTGTGCCCACGCTGAGCTCATGGGGTTCACATTAGGTTTGATGTGAGTAATGAAATTGAAAGACCATAAAAGATTGAAACCTTTTGGCTCTCCTGACAAAGTCTAGCAAGTTTGGCAGTGAACTGGCACAAAGCTCACAATCTAGAATCCAGAGCGGAGCATCGGACAACATGAGGACCAGCGGATTGGGTAAAGACTCAGGGAAGGCCTGTGGACTTTTCTACATTTCTAAGGCAGATTTAACATCAGGGGGTTGACATCACTTCTCTCGGTTGACCCCTTTGGTGTTTCCATCCCATCTGAGCCAACATTTCAATAGATCTGGTGTGTAATGTGGACTCAAACGGACATGTTAGAAGGGCTCGTCCACAGCTGCTCTTCAGGCCCTGTGTAAACTACCCCTGTATAAGTACAGGCAGCTGTCAACCAACTGCGGTCCACGGCCACATTGCTTCCCCGCAGCACAACAAACCCATTAAGAAACTGGTGACTTTTGTTGCCTCCTCTACTTTTTCGTCAACTACAACAACCCGTGACCTGGTGGTGAGAAGATGAGGTCTGTTATCCAGATGATTGCAGGTTTGAATCCTGCTGAGGTGTGTTTAGCGCCTGCTCCCCGGGTGTTTCTCAAAGTCATCACTGCTTTACAGGAATAGGTTGATGGGTGATTGATTCTTCTTTACATTTTCCTTTGTCCACAAATCTACTGCAGGGAGGGGGGGGGGGGGGTAGGTGGGGTCCCACTCTGCTCCACAGCAAAGGCATCATTATCTGAAACATAATTCTTCCATCGTATACGCAATCATCTTCTAACAAATGATCATTGAATCTCTTTATCTGCTCTGACACTCATCATCATCAGGACCAGGTTATATTGTTGGCCTCTTCCTTAGTTTCTGACGTAAACGTCTGTGGGATTTTGGAAATGTATACATACATTAGTAAGAAAAACAAACCTCTATAGTTCATTCAAAACAGTCCGTTTATTGCCCAATTACCTCAAAAAGAAAAGAGACTCGTGTGTGTGTGTGTGCGTTATTTAATGCGTCATGGGAACATTCCTGCCCTGCTTCCGACCCCCTCTGAGAACTCTGGGATCTCTCCAAATGTTTAGTCAGTTGTGACTAGACTTGTAGTTACGTCGGAATTATGCTTATGGATTCTTCGGCTCTGAAAATGTTTTTTTCGCTAAAGTAAAAAAAAAAACGTCTTTCAGCACTAAGATGTGTGCTTCATACAGAACAGGTCCAGCATCTGGAGTGCTGTGATGTGGATGAATGAGAACTGATGTGAACACTAAACATTTGAAACAACATAAAACAACGTTCCTCCTCTGCCCTCGGCTCTTTGTCCCGTCTTAGTGTCGATGGTGTAGAAACACTTTCATTCAGTTTTACAAGTTTTTCCCAAACCAATTCCCGTCCACTTCTTCCTCCTTCCCTCCCTCCTTCCTCTGCTGCTGCTCAACATGTGGCCTCCCTCGTCCTCCTCAGTTTGTCATGACTATAAAAGGACAAAACCAGGCGCAGTAGCCCAGCTGTCTGCGTCTAACGTTCACCATCTCCAGAAACACGACAGGACTTCATCCTTCTAACGTCTCCTCTCGTCCCAGCTCTGTTCCACCTCTCTGTAATACTTCAGATACATGATGCTAAACCAAGTTTTCATTCAGACGGAGAACAAAGAACATTGTAGAAAATGGAAACTTGTTCACATTAACGTAGTCAAGTGTCGACAGTGAAGGCTGCTAAAGGTTGACTGAACTCACCTGCACAGTTTTCTTGATGCGCTGTGAAGGACCAGGGTAGTCCTTAGAGTACAGGTCAGTCAGGAACAGGGAGTTGATGAGCGTGGACTTCCCGAGGCCCGACTCACCTGAGGAGAAAGAGACTCTGTTAAACTTTGAGACACTTTTACATTTTGGTCATGAAGACTGCTGCCCCCGCGACCCAGGAACGGATCAGAGGACAAAAATGGACGGATGGATGGATGGATGGATGTTTAATGAATAAAATGAAAGTGAAAACACCTTAATTTGTTTCACTGTTGCTATAAATAACCAAACTATAAATTTAAGTTTTTATCCCATTTTGGAAAGTACGTAGAAAAAAAAACAGTATTATAAATCAGAGATACGAATCATTACTGTTCTATACAGATGAGTAAATCAGAGATACGAATCATTACTGTTACTGTTATACAGATGACATCCTTCTCTTACCAATAACTACCATTATTCCTAAATGACCATGTCTCTGGATATGGAGCACTTAAATTCGTCTTGTAAAAATTCCTGTATCTTTTCCATGGCTATAAATACGATACCGCAAAGGGCATAAACTTCCAAAGCTTGTTCTTTTTGTAACTTGTGAGACCATGAATTTCAACCCAGTCTCCATTTTATGAGAAAGCAATGACAGTTGGGGACGTGCCGGAGATGAACACGCGCATTAAAGGCACACTTAGAAGTATGTGCTTCCACAGCACACACAGGGCCTGAGGGGCAGAGCTGAAGTCGGGAAAACCCGAGTTGATTCATTCTTTGGGAGGAAAAGGGTCAGGGGCCTGTCTGCCAGCAAGAAAGGCTTTCTGATAGAGGGAATAAAACATTTCCTCTCCACCTCCCGTTCACCATCCATTTTCATCCGGCTCCTTACTATCCCTCTCGCTAAACACTTCCCTTATTATCCACTGTAAATCTTCCTGTTTCGCTCCTCACTCTGCCAACTTTCCACTGCCTGCTCAACAACCACACACGCAAAGACACACACATGCACACGTAACAACATGGACTTGACAATGAAACGTCAACCATAAACATTATGCACCGTGTCACACACACACACGCACACACACAACGCAGTGATTAATTGCGGAGCCTCTGGCTCGCGTCTCTTGAAAAATGCGTTGGAGGAGAGAGTTTTGGATGGAGGAGAGAAAGGAGGGCTGTCTGTCCTAGAAAGACCTCTGTGCCACATGAGGGTTTTCCAGTCTCCAGTTTAAAGAGACAGGAAGCCTGGTTGGGATTAAACTATATCCTGTATAAAATGACTTTTTTTCCCACAATGAAACCCATACATTGTATCCATCCATACTAGCCCTTGATGTCAAACCTGGAAACAGAATCACGATGCTAAGCTCAATCCACTCATCTGTTTATTTCTGCCGCCTTCACTGAAGGTTTCAAAAAAAAAAGAAATTTCAATCTAAGATTCCTGTAACCCAGAAAGTCTTCAGATTGTTTGTCCAACCCACAGCCGTAGGACATTTTACCAGATGGAAAGAGCACGCATTTTTGTTTGATTACAGACATATAACTGTAGTTGCAGATCAATATTTGTGGCTCAATAAATTGCTGCTTTGGGAAACCATGCAAGTGTGTAGAAACAAATCTGTTGAAAAGCTCCCCAGGACCACATGACTTAGCAGATGTCAGGAACACTTACATCAGGGACCAGATACTGACTCGCAATAAAAATGCCTAATTTTTCTTCATCAAAACTTAGTTTGATTAATTAGAAAGATGTGAAATGTATGATAATTATCTATGGTGTGAATTACATGAACTTTAAAAATTATATTTATATCTATCTCTTACATATAAATGAAAATGGCATCCACTTGTGAAAAGATGGGAATAAACTCTTTTGACATGTACCTATTACCATTGATGCCACCCTGGCAAAACAAACAGCAGGAAATGAAGTGAAACTAACGACACGCAGAGAGCTGAACCAGCCACTGCCTTAGATCAAATATCAGTCTGGTTCATGATGCAGATGAACAGAGAGTCAGATTCTCCACTTTAATGAGGTGACAAATATAAAACGGTCCATTTAGCTTCTCTCGACATCATCTGTAGCTGATCAAGCCTTCTCTCGACATCATCTGTAGCTGATCGTGTGCCTCTGCTTTATTTATTGTTTATTAAAAATACTTTATAAAAAATAAATGCTACTTTATTAAATGATAAAGAAGAAAACCCCATTACAACTGTAGACCAGGTACAGTTAAGTTATCTCCATTGCAGCCTAATGTTGCCTGGAGCACTGATTACCAACCACGGTGCTGCGGCACATTACCGTATTTTCCGTACTATAAGAACCACGTTTTTTTTCATCCTTTGGCTGGGTTTGCGACTTATATATTAAAATATATAATTTCATATGTTTGTTATTTTCACACTGACAGCCACTAGGGGGCTCTCTAGCTGGCTGGTAAGACATACCCCTGGATATATGGTAGTGTGCTGTGAGAAATATGCATGTGTACAGAAGAAAAATATTATTTTTTCCATTTCCTGTAAACGGTTTCTTATATTATTTTTTCCATTTCCTGTAAACGTTTTCTTTGTCTGTCAATGCGACAGTGAGTCATACACGAGAACAAGTCTGAGATCATTAAATCTGACAAGAGTTGTTGTCAGTGAAAATCACCAACAACAGAAAAGCCTGAGCAACGAATGCTGATTTTTCGGTCAATGTATGATATTAAAAAAAATCAAAGTTTTGTATCATTCTGCTTAGTATTTAGGCGTTGGACGTTTCCGTTTTAAAACTTCACCCTGGTTTTGCCCATCTGTGAAGTGTTAAATCTTAATATTTCTAAGGCAGAGGCTTTGAACCTTCAGCTGGTTATCAACCCCGTGTTTTTGTTGGTTCCAGACTCATTCCTGGGCAGAGGGTCATGAGTCAAAGGTGTCAGTTTCCTTCGCTGACAGACCTTCTCTCTGTGCTGTCTGAACCAGACTTGTCTAGTCTCGTCTGTGGTGCAGATGTGATGCGGAGTTCAGTCATCTCATGTTATTGTAAGTATAAACAAAGTCCTCGGCCTGGGTTTTTTTATATGTCATTATTATGCTGTTTCATCACAATCTCTGGTATATTTGAGTGAACTGCTGATATTGGAAAGAGGTCAGAATGCAACACCTAACATCCTCAGTGGGTCTGGTCATTGTTACTTTGTGTTTTTACTACAGCGAACACCAAGTATGGGTCGTGTTACTGCCGTTACAATAGGATGGACTGGGACACAGAAGAACATTCAAACGGTCAAAGTGGGTTTCCCATTGGATTCCTAACATTCCTCCCTCTCCAGCCCTGAGGCAGCAGCTGCTCCCCTCACATCCTATCTACTAACACCCAACAAACACCCTCCCCACACCCACTCAGACACACATCTAACAGATGTGTGAAGCCTTTAACACAAACTGCGAAATGACACATCTGGGAAACATACAGGCAACGAATGAGCAGTGGAGAGTCACAGACACACGGACAGACACGGAGAAGATGTGAAGCCTGACGGTGCGTTCACTGACCACCGCAGAGCTGGATATGATAATGCTCTATTGTTCAAGCTAAATGGAATAGGTTTAGACAGAGGGCAAAGGTCAGTGTTTTGGGAAAAAGATAAGTATCTGCAAGTGCAGCAGTCTGAAAAACTGTCTGAATCCAAAGTAAACGGTGTAAGCAGTCGGTCCGATCGGCGCGGTCCACACTGGCCGGCCACAGAAGCCTCGAAGTGACACCACCCCGGCCACAGAAGCCTCGAAGTGACACCTCAGTCCTGAGGTGACCTTCCCTCAGGCTTTTTTTTTTTTTTAATTAGAGAGTGACTGTACCACTGTGAAAAAGAATCGGCACGTGCTGGGTCACTGCAGACATGTGCGTCTCAAAATAGAGATGGAAAGAAAGGGAACAGAGCGTGGATAACTGGGAAAGGCCATCCAGACTGTTCCGCAGAGGTCCCACCGAGCAAACCTGACCCTGATCTGAGCGTGCTCGTACGCACGGGCTAGTCTGCTCTGCCCACAGGCAGCGAGGCAGCTGTGAGTGAAACGAGTTTGTAAACAAGCTGCTGTCCACGGCTGATGACTGTGTTTGACTGGGTTGTTTGTTCAGTTTGGTCACATCTAGATGTGAACTTACAGACAACCGCGACCGACTGAATACCAAGAAAGTGTTGTTTTGTGTATTTTCAGATTCTTTAGTTTTACTCTTTATGACCATTGGTATTTAGAAATAAAGCCGTTTTTTTTAGCTCCTGAAACACATTCGATTGTAAATACGATCAGAAGACACTGTAGGACCTGGAAAATAATGGGCTGCACAATTGCAGACTATATATCAAATAGGGATTTCACTCTGTTTATATTGGCCCTGAACAACCACATCATGGTTCATATGTATCAATATATGTAACAAATTCATTTCTGACCTAATATGAACCGTAAGTCAATCGAGCCAAAGATGTTACAGCCATGTGTGACCTTGACCCAAAAAACACAAAATCAAAGCAGCACCTGTTCAACGTAGCAAAGTGTTACAACCCACTTATCCCTGACATTTATTTTATAGGTTACCCCGTCGGCCGCTGCTTCCTCCAGCGTTTCCTCGGAGTTCCTCAGAAAATCCCAAAGTCGATGAGAAAATAAAACCAGATTCTCATGCATGTTAAACCAATCACAACACTTCCAGCTGGAACCTCTAGCTCGCAGGTGCAGTAAATTATGGATCCGGCATCATTTTGGAATCAGTTTGGAATTCTCACAGTGTAGTCCCACTCACTGAACTGAAACCCAGTCAAACCGTGGACATGGTCCTAGTGATTTCCTGGCTCAACAGACAAAGAAAAAAATGGAGCCAAAATCCATTCAGAAGTCCTGATGTGTTCAAGATTCCTCTGCAGAAAATATATATGTGCACACACTCACTACACACACACGCATAGATGGTGCACAGCTGGATGTTTTTCAAATGAGATGAGATTCAAACCCCCAACATTCTGATCCAAAACCAACATGTGTTTGCTAGAATTATGAGGAATTTAGATAAATGGAGAAAAGGCAAGCTCTGCAATCTTTCTGACATTCGACGTCAACATTAGACAAGATAGCGATTCAAGTAAAGTACGTCTGGACACCAGGGTCCGATCAGGTTTGAAGCTTTTAAAATATTTGCTCTGGAAACATTTATTGTATGTGGTCTTGCCCGTACAGAGTTTTACAGAGTTTTTTTTCTTCTCCAGCAGACCTACACTTGTTATAACATTTTTGACGGTTCGTTGTTCACCTTTTTAAAAACCCAAACTGTGCCTTATAGACACCAAATCATATTTTTTTAAACAGACTAAATCGATTCAGTTAATTCAACCAATCAGAGCCAGAGTAAAACCTCCCTCAGCTGTCACAAGAATTACTGCAAGACGCCTAAAAGCTAACATTTGGTAGGAAGAGATAAAAAAAAAACAAAAAAAACTTAGCTGCTTAAGTTGAAGCATTTTTTTTACTAATCTTTTTTTCTGTCCACTGGCAAATATGAACTTTTAAAATCTGATTTCATTCACGCAGTTCAACATATTACAGTGGTGCGTGCGTCAGCGTGGTGTGTACGGATGGATCTGGAGACTCGCAGATTAACTCCACTAAAGCCCTTCTTTACTGACTCGCTACTGCAAGGTCAGTGGGCAAGGCGGTCAATCCTCAGCCTGATCACTATCTTATACACACACACACACACACACACACAAGAGAGAGACAGATTACTGTAGACTTGAGCAGCAGCAACTTCAGCAAAGATAGTCCAGACAACATTCAGGCAAACGGACACAGACACACACATTACAAAGACAGAACAACATGTTAGGAGTTAGGATGTTTTTTATTTGAGTACACTGTAAATTCAGTAATATGGATGATACTTAGAAAATAATGTGCAGAATTTAGTCTTTTATTGGCAGCTACGTTTGTGTATTCATGGATTTATGGACTAAAAATGTAAACCATGTTTTTCCATTGATGTGGGTTTATTCAGGCTGCTGCTAATCAACGCTCTTTATCTAAGCCTGACGGTGGATGACATCATGACTGTCAGACCGTACAGTGACCGTTAGTGTATGGTGCATCGCCCCAATTGTCAAGTACAGGCAGCAATAATGAAGCAGCTCAATGTACAGTACATGATCGGAACTCTGGAGAACACAAGTGAACAACTCCCCCATTGGCTGGTTTTGGAGGACACTGATTTACTGCCATAGATGCATCAAACATGGTTTCCTCTTTTGGTGTACAATTACAATGTGATGTGATGTGATATGACAGGACGTAATGTGATATGACAGGAGGTGATGTGATATGACAGGACGTGATGTGATATGACAGCAGGTGATGTGATATGACAGGATGTGATGTCATATGACAGGACGTGATGTGATATGACAGGACGTGATGGGATATGACAGGACGTGATGTGATATGACAGCAGGTGATGTGATATGACAGGAGGTGATGTGATATGACAGGATGTGATGTCATATGACAGGACGTTATGTGATATGACAGCAGGTGATGTGTTATGACAGGATGTGATGTGATATGACAGGACGTGATGTGATATGACAGGACGTGATGGGATATGACAGGACGTGATGTGATATGACAGGATGTGATGTGATGTGACAGGATGTGATGTGATATGACAGGAGGTGATGTGATATGACAGGATGTGATGTCATATGACAGGATGTGATGTCATATGACAGGACGTTATGTGATATGACAGCAGGTGATGTGATATGTCTGTGTGAGGTAAAGTGTCTTGGTGCTCCATGCCTTTACACTAACATGTGCTGACAGGAAACCAGGAACCACACCAACGTGCCAATCATATAAGAAAACAATTTTCATTTAGATCATAACACACACACCCACACACACACACGGCATAGGTTTGATACTGCACACACCTATGAGAAGAACACCTTGGACTATGAAAATGACTGCAAAATCCTTTTCCAGCATTTGCCGTTAATGATGGTTAGAAATGTATTCTTTTGAAAAGTAAACAAACATGTAAACAATTCTAGGTCTAAAACTTTTCAAACACAAACAGTTGAACTAAATCATGCATTTTTTTGACAGTTTGCCACGAGGCAAAATATAGACTTTTTCCAGTCAGTAACGACCAGAAGTTTTGGTTGGCCACGGTCACTTCTCATGTATAATTTACAGTTTTGACACTGTGTTGGAGTCCTTACTTCACTCCCTCAACATTTCACTAATCTTTCCAGGAGATTCTATTCAACATGCCAGCTGGACTGAGGGGCAGGAAACAGATTTTTTCCCTCTCAGAGAGCGAGAGAGAGAGAGAGGGAGGGAGAGAGACAGAGACAAGGACAGGACAAAGATAATTTAAGTAGTGAACATAAAAAAACAAAACACTGCTAGAAACAGTTTCCATAGATTACAGTGGACGTTTTACATGACTGAGACCACCCACGTACAAGGACGAACCAATCACCGTCACATTCACACCTAAGGTCGATTTTTGGAACTGAATGCAGAGGTGCATCCAACCGAGGTCGACCAGTGGTGGTGCTGCAGCACAGACACACCCATCACTTCATACACACTCGTCTTTCCCTTTCCATCTGTAAATGTACCCTGTGTCATGTTGTTAACACACATGCTATACGCCCCACACTTGTGTGAGTGTGTGTGTGTGTGAAATGTGGATCAGCTGGGGCATGTGTTTCCAGAGCCAAGAAAACTGGGGAGACGGACAGAGGGAGCGGGGGATTGAGGAGGGGCAGGGAAGGCTTGAACAAGGATCTGGTTGACTGTGGTTCCTTTTGGTGCTCCACCAAGCCGTCACTCTTTGTCTCCCTCCTGCTACTCGTCCACTGTGGCTGTTCACTAAACAGGAAGCTGAAACCCCAGGCTGAGATAATACGGCCTGTGTTCCTGCCTGTGTTCACGCATTGATATTTATGACCTTTTACAACATTAACGTAACCTCTGTCTCACTCCCTCTTCCTCCCTCTGACTGTTCCACATGCCACTGTCCAACCCTCCGACTGTTGCTGTGTCTCTAAGGAGTAGTTTGGTTTTTTTTGCAGTAATGTAATGGCAGTCATCATCATACCCCACCCACTCGAGGTACTGCAATACTATTGTTATGTCATCATAACATACACTAAAAGCAGGGTCAATGTTGATGAGATAATTTTTTTAAATTACCGTATTTCCCAGACTATAGGTTGCACTTTTAAAAAAATTCTTTGGTTGAGTCTGTGACTCAGGTGCGACGTATATATTAAAATATTTAAAAAGTTATTTTCACACTGACAGCCTCTAGTGGGCACTGGTGCAACTTATAGTCCGGTATCCATGTTCAACTTGTACTATTTTGACAAACCAATGCTTCCTCCCCTGTTTTGTCACCTCTTCCTCCACTTCCCTTCCTCGGTGATGATGTTAGCCACACTCTGAATCCAAACTCTTTCACACTGAAACCAGCATTCGACTCGGCCAAAACACACACAGACTTGTCAGTGTGCATCCTGACACTACACAGAGGAGACCTCCCCTGGGGGCTGGGTGGTATGACACTCCACAGCCATTGTCACTGAACGGCTCACGGTGCATTTTGGAATTTTTTAAGCTGGTCATTCAGGGCAGCTGAGTGTCACACATTCTGTTGACTGCGCTGCCCTTTCTCACCTGTTGGAGCTGCTGCTGCGTCACGTCCTTACTTGTTCACAAAACATTGTTTTCTGTACCGAGGCATTACATAAACCTTTTGGCTTGAACTTTGGATTGAGCTCCCACAGACTCCTTCATCGGCCATTTTTAAACCAGCACTTAAAGACTTTTTTTTTCTACGGTGCTTCATGAACAGTGATGGTTTGTCTACGGTGCTTCATAAACAGTGATGGTATATGTAGTATGATTTTTATTCCAACTTACCGACGACCATTAACGTAAACTCGAAGCCTCTTTTCACCGACTTCCGATACACCTGGTTGGGAAGATTTGCGAAGCCCACATAGCCCTCCAGGTTCCGCTGCTGCAGAAACACAGAGTATCAAACAGAGAGACGGTTTATTTTTACTTGGTCAAAAAAATCAAATGTCAAATTTAGTGATGGATAGTGAGGGTCATTGCAGTTTAATAGAGAAGATTAAAAGTCAGAAACTATGATGTCAACTGTCAAAAATAGACCTTAAAATCAAAAACAGTGTTCCATTATTTCCGTCATATTCTGCAGTCTAATAAATTCCATTGGTCTTCGTCCAAGTTGAAGAAAAACATTTAGTCGGCTTTTCAATTTAAAGTAAGCTAACATAACACGTCAGCTGCTGGTTCTGTTTTCTCCTGCTACTCCAGCACTTGTTAAGTCACAACTCTGACAGGCTGATATTTAATATAAGTGAATTTACCCAGGGAGGTGGGGGTGGGGGAGTACACTGATACCTTCAGTCTACAGTCTGGGCACATTAAGAACTAAATTCCTACATCCATCTCTTAACATAAAGCATTAGCACACGTTCAGAAAATGTCAGTCCTGTTACATCGTCAAACAATCCCAGCCCTTATCAAAATATGTACACACATAAATACAGTGCCTGTTCATCTGAGTACAAATACTGCGCTGAAAAAAAAAACAAAAAACGGTAGCTACAGCCGCACAATTATTACGTGCACTCAAAGTGATGAAACTCTTGTTTTTTCGTAAACCTGCAATTAGCATTTCTGTGTCCTGCACCAACAGAGACCCTTTGAAGCGAAGCACAGCTGGGATAAACACGAGAGGGGGAAAAGAGTGTTGTGAGAGTCTCCCTGTGTGGATGGTACGGGGGGGTAGTGGGGGGGGGGGTCATGGTCAACTCACACAGAGAAATAACAGGGTTCAGAGCATGGAACAGGAGGAAATGGATTTGAGTCAACGCTGCCAAAAAGTCTGTCAATTAGGCTAACTAAGACAGACAGGCTCAACATTTAAAACTGGGTTTGTCAAAGGATACACACTGGGCAGAAGGACATTAAAACTACACATGTATGTGTCGACTGCTGCTGCAAACTGACTGGAACAGATTCCTCAAACACTCAGGTGAAGACTGGCATCTGGGCTGTTCTGTTGCCATAGTTTCCATCGACACAGATGTAAATATGAGGGTTGACAGGAGTCTGCCATCTGCCCCAGTGGCCTCATTTCAGTCACAATTCTGTGCATTTACCCACTCAAATACAGACAGATCATATTGGAAGTGTGTGTGTGTGTGTGGGGACTTCCTACTGCCCCCCAGAAGGTTTTCCAAAATAATCCTTTCTAAAACAGGGGGGCGCTTAATAAAAAGTTTTTGCTAACAAATACATTAATCCATAACCTAAACTGTCATATGATAAGGTCCAGCAAGGGGGCGCTCTGACAGCAGAATGTAAAATTTGACACTGAAAAACTAAAGTTAAACATTCGGAGAACTACGTATATGACCACACTATATTTTTGAATGTCTTCAAGAAGTCTTCAAATTGTCCAATAGTAGTCTAATAGTCATGATAATTTTTTATTTAAAATCTCTGAAAGTACTTTCAGAGACATTTGTGTCCTTCCAAAGTCTCCAGTTCTGCGTCGGTCTAAACCCAGCTAAAATAAGCAAGGATAAAACTCTGCTCCTCTGAATATTTTCAGAGTCATCCGATACTTCCGTCAGAGTACTCAGGCTGTACTCTCCTCACCCTACACACCATTACCCACCCTGCTCTTTGTATTTCCCAGCTCTCACTGTGATGTCAGATAACCCCCAACCCCCCAGTCCCTATGTCCACTATCCCACACGCCACACGAGACAAACACAATTGATTGCTGTCCTCTCTGACTCTGTTATGGCTTCAATGGAAAATGTTGACGCTGATAAACAAGGTTTAAAAACACGTACACAGGAATGACTTTCATCTACTTCTAACCTAATCGGCTGCTGCAGCCGATAATTAGCGCAGTAATATTGAAATGTGGAATTCATTTTTATATATGTTACACTTGAGTATAAGTCGCAAACCCAGACATACGATGAATAAAAGTGTGATTTACAGTGCAGAAAATACGATAATCAGGATTGGTTTTTTGTTTTGAAGTGTGACTTACAGTCCGGAAAATACGATAATCAGGATTGTTTTTTTGGTTTTTTTTTTGGCAGCCCTTGTTTTACAGCTGTGTCTCTCTCTATTCCTAGGCAGTGGTAGAGACCAACAAAGTCCAAAATTCACTGTGTAGTAGAGATGAGAATTTGATCAGAAAACATCAAAACCTTATTTTCAGATCTTCGAATCGTGTGGATGGAAAATCAATGACTAGAAATCAATTTGTAAAAGACCATCACGGCACCAACTCTGCAGGCTACTCTGTGCTCCACATACCCTGCTGTTCACTGTGACACTCACAAAACGGTCGGTTACACATCAGCGTCACCAGAACACGCTCCGCAAACACACACACACACACACACATACACACACCGTCCATCAATACTCATCACAGCAAACAGAAACGGAACTGCTGCAACCAGCCTGAAGCACTTTCCACCGTTCTCATGTTTGATCCACCTACATACTGAGTGAGAGAGAGAGAGTGTGTGTGTGTGTGTTACATAATGGTAATGATGATGGACCACTGCAGCATCCCATAAAAGTTGTAAGGTCACAGTAGTTGCCTCTGAGGTACTGACATTTTTTTTTTTGCTCGAATTGCCAACGTTTATTAAAGCGATTTACAGCTGGATGGTTCTGGAACTCGAAAGAACACAGAGAACCACTTCCCCCAGTTTAGTGCTGATATCAAATGCCTGGTTCATTGACATCAGCTGTACTGAACTGTACTGTACTGTAGTGTACTGTACTGCTGATCCCACAACTAAGAATCAGCTGGGATTTGGGTTCCTCTGTTTTGGACTTGTGTATTTTCTGTATATATTTACATCATATATATATATATATATATGATGTAAATATATATATATATATATATGATGTAAATATATATATAAATGTATTTATATATTGGAGATATATGTATATTATAGAATAAACAAATCATTAAAAACAGTACCAGTCGTCACAGGGGAACTCACTAACATCTTGCTACCGACTGCTGTTGGTTTACAGAAATATTTACACACGCACACAAATATATATATATACAGAGATGGCAACATCTGCTTCTTATAAACCGTCAACGGTTTCACCCACTGAACCACCACTAACCATTTTAAAGCTGCCTTGTTCCCTACAGTGATTTTACTTCCCTGTAACACCTTTCAAAACTACAGCGAAGTGGTCTTGGGAACAGTGGGACTTTTTTTTTTATTCCTGTAATGCCTGAAGATACAGTAATGGAGCAGCTCGAAGAGCAAATATGAACTTATCCGTTTAGAAACATTAGTTGTTGTTTATTCGTCATTCTTATAATGTCGAGGTTTGTGCAACAAATGCAACAAAACAACAACGTCACCCTGGCTTCACAACTCATGTTTGATGATCACCAAATTCTGACAAACGTTCCTTTGTGTTGCGTTCGAGGACCTTTACAGCAACACTTATTTTTAAGAGCCCTGCAACTTCACAGAGGTAAACAATATGAGTCTGAACTCAAAGTTAAGCAAGAAAACACTGCACAAACACAACTTCACTACCACACAAATTCCTATTGTCATGGCATGTTTTCGGCCCCCACCCACCACAATCTGGCCTCATCAGAACCAGGCTACAGAGATAGGCAGGAGGTGTGGTGCATTTTTAAACGACGGAATGTGGTACAGATTTAGATGTTATAGGTATATAAACCAAGCCGAACTAATCACGATCCTACACAGATTAAATAAACAACACAGCTGGTAGCTGGTTAAAAAACACGTTTCGGCAAATCAATCAAAAATCCTGAAGTGAGCACATTGTTAAAGGGGTTTGGGGTGCAGTTCTCCATGTTTGGTCGATCGGGTGAAAACATACTGACTTAGACACATTTGGTGTAAAACAGAGTTCTGACCTGCGATGTTAATTTAAAAAAACAAGGGTGTTGTAATAATAGAATTAGTGAATCAGTGGACTTACAGCGATGCTGGGGACCGCAGTCTCTGGTCGTTCGATCATTGTAGTAGTGTGCTGTCACCGCCCAGCCTGTAACCGACAGTCAGTGACACATACACCGATAAAGGTCCAAAAAAATACCCGCTGCTCTGCGCCGAAAACACCGCACCTTTACTGCAACGAACGTGTCTGTAAACTGCAGCAACAATGAATGAGTGGGGGTTCTATTACATATGGCCGCGACCGGAGGACACTACAGCCAGATCAAGCAGAGTGACGAAAAAAGGCTTCGACTGTTTTCTTTGCTAAGTGAACAGAGAGAATGTAACGATTACACATCCGGTCTGGGCTTTTCAAAATAAGATAAAATAGTGTTTCGATGTTTTTGTGCCGTTGTAGATTACGTTTGTCTATAACAATACTTCCCTCAATTATTATTATCTTTTGGTATATTTGACTCTTCCAGTACCGCCAATATAATCAAAATAGCACTATAATTGGCATTTTAGTGTAATTCTAAAACCACACAAAGAATGAGAGAGAAAACATCCACAAAATGAAAATCATATCAAATAGTAATCCGATTTCCCCGCGCAGAAAAGTCATTTTAAATATTAGTTGCAGCTCGAATTCGTTGGCATCTAGCAACCCAAAAGACTGGTAAGTAATTGTATAGTTTTTTTTAATTGTAAACAATTATTTTAACGAATCAATTACATTTGACATTTGACATTTGGTATGTATAAATTTGTATCATAGTCAACAAGGATTAATGTGGATCTTTATTGGATTCTTGTTTGTATTCTAAGTTTTCAACATAGACAAAAGCAACATAGATTTTCTTTTGCTCTTACAGGGTGAAGGGCGAAAACATAGCTTCCGGTCAACCATGGGGTCCGAACGGCTTGACTGAATTGTAAGGAACATGAATCCACGGTCCTATTGGTTGATGTGAACAGGCCCTGCGTGACGTGTTAGGCCTTCAGGTGCTGCAGGCGAAACAATGCTGACTTCATACACTGTTGTAAAAACGTAGGCACCAACGCCGCCAATGACAGATGGACAGATTGAATAGTTACTTCAGTTTATTGGAAAAAGTCAGGAGTATAACAAAAACGTCACAATGGAAATAAAATACACATTTCAGAGGCTCAAAAACAATCGTGTGGCCTCTAGCTTATGGTCTACTAGTGACACCTTGTGGAACTAGAAAAATAAATGGTCTTTTTTTTTTATAAATAATGTGAATGACTGAAGACAAAAAACTCAGAACATTTCAAGGATAGAATAAAGATCCTGTGCTTAAGAGAGAATCAAAAACGTTTTCATTTAGCATATGTAGTATGTTCTCATCACACACTTTTTTTTATCATGAACACAGGTTGTCCTTCATGGGAGTCTCTGGTTCTGCAGGTACCGATGTGTCACCGTTCACAGATTGGACATCTCTCCTGGCAGGACCTTGTTGTCCAGCTCGTCTATGAGCTCTCTCACCCAGGTGGCTGAAGGTCTATAACACAGCTGGCGGCCAGACTTCATTTTCAACCTGAACACAAAAACACATCCACAGAAAATAGTCAGAAACCTTGCACCCACTCGCAGGAACAACCGTGATGGTAATTACTCAAATGTTTTTTCTTCCTTACAGGACGCCAGACTTGGAGCACTGCTGACTGGTCTGGATGTAGCTGACCACGTTCTCCTTGATCGGGGGTTTGTCATTAAAACGGACGCAGCACTTCTTTGGGCCGATACCACGCAGACCTGCAAACAAACAGATGTGAATGAGTATCATCTAAAACAGAGACACTGTACACAGATATAGTTCCTTTTTCAACTTCCTGCAGAAATACACAAAGAATAGTATCACGTCATTCATTCCATTATGATGTGGCAAAAACCTCTGACGTTTGTTCCTCTACTGTGGTTATTTGATGCAATGTGGTGAAGTAACAATTGCTTATTATTATCAGCATGGTTTGAGAAATGTTTTTTTTTAATATCTGGTGCAAACATTGAAGTTAAATAGACATGGTTAAATATTTATTTAGAAATTAAATATATACAGTATATATTTAAAAATATATTGTTTACTCTAAAGCATCTCTTTAAGCTTCCATTTTTCGTCTGTATTACAGTGATTCACATTTGTTCAATAAAAGGAACCACTGAAAAGTTAATTATTGCCATCTAGTGGTGAAGGTACATATTGCGGTTAATTATCTCACTTTAAAATTGAATTCACTTTGTATACTATGTTATGGCCTTGGTTTAAAACATGGTGATTGGAAAATAAAGCTTCAGTTTGTCTCAGTATAATAAAACAAATAAAACTGGGGCTGATCAAAAACGCGACAAATAAAATAAAATAAAAACGAAAAGAAATTCAGACTTATTTCTTATTATCATTGTCATGCTGATAGACTTATTTCTTATAATTCTTGTTTAAGTAATGCAGTGTTTGTCTAGGTTTTTAATAAATACTGCTTTATTAGCCTTAAAACTCACCTGAGTAATGGTTAAGATTTTGTTTCTAGAATTAACCTAGAAACTAATATACATTTTTAAATTTTCTCCATCATGATCAAGGCTCAAGTTTCTTCTTACCTTCACTCAGGCTGACGACAGCCAGCAGCAGCACAAACATGGACAGAACCAGACGAAGAGCAGCCATCCTGATGTTGTTCTTTCTGTGTGTTGTGAAGTATTAATGGTCCTGGTTGAGTTGAGTCGTAACTCGTCTACTTGCTCAGATGTGTGGACCTAAACCCAAGCACCTCACACATTTATACAGCTCTGCTATGACGGGAGGGAAAAACCAAGGACTTCACGTGAAGTGTGGGAGTTTCAGAACGTGGGCCTCTCTTCACTCTGTGACAGCTGTCTACATTTGTCCCAAAGACTTTTTCAGTTCCCTAAACAATATGAGACTCAATGATTTAAGAGGGAGATCAAAAAAAGAGGAAGTGTTTTCCCCTCAGTGGTTTCCCTACTGAGCTTTGTCATCTTTGACCTTGACCATGTCTCGGTTCACTCTCACACCTTCTATATGTCACTGATATTGTTACATATCTCACATGTATAAAGTTTTTTTGCATTAGGTCATGAGTGTAGCACAGAGTGGCTGGAACTGGGACACACAGTAATCAGGAAGTTTTTTATTTGTAGATTTATAGATGTAAAATGTAAATATATTTGTATACACATATTGTTTTATGTATACAAATACACGTATATATTTATATATACATATGTGCATAAAGGTAACGGCTTCAACTTACTTGCGACATAAACAGAGTCAATTCAATATCGATATCAATTTGCCTCAGATTGGAAGTCAACGTGACTCATTAACATTAAAATACTGTGAACTACCAGATTTTTCTAATGCCTGTGTTTTTACATTTAAAATAATAATAAAAACAGGAAAGTATTTGCACATATTTAATTCAGGATGGCTTAGATCAGTGGTTCTCAAACTGTGGTACACGTACACATGCGTTACATGTAGGGTTATACAGTTATCATGAGAACAAATATGATTTACTTTGTTTGGAAACCTTCTCTCTTGACTCTTTACAGAAACGCATGTGGCCGATCATAATAAACCACACTTGACGTTTGGCTCATTTTTGTAACAATTTGGTGAGAAAACTGCGAAGATTTGGACAAAATGGGACAAAAAACATTTACACAACAACTAACACAGTGTTTTCTTCTTTAGTATAAATTGTTTTAAAATGAACTGGCTCAATGGTATACTCCTGACGGTGTTTGTTCCTTCTCTTCTTCAGTAGCCTAGAAATTATCTGGAAACAGGAAACTAAACGGAGACCATTGAAAGCATTGAAACCATTGTGATGTAGTGGTTTTTGGTTTTCCTCATGAAAAACCTCAATTTCATCTAAAGTGTTTCCCTACTCTTCAGTTTAGTGTTATATGTAAATGTCTACTCCTGTTCTTTTTCCCCTCTGTTGTTATAAAGCAGAAGGCCTCTGCAAGACTCTTTCACTTCTTCATATTTTGCCCTTTGAAAAAAAAACAAACATTGTGTGACTCAGACCTCAGTGTGGGATTCAATGCCAACCTTGAGGACCCGTGGTGTGGTTTCATCAGAAAATGGAAGGTCATGTTCTTTTACGTTAAAGGTCAGAAGGTCCTGAGGTCATCTGACTTTGGTCACTGACCCCAGGTTTTCAGATCTAGCAGAAAACATAACGAATATTTAAATATTGTTTTTATTGTCTGTATTGATTATATACTAAATAGTGGTTGTGTTAACATACTCACGTTATGAGACTTCAGAGGGGGTCCTAGATTTACGTTCCTCCGAACTAACATCTTGTGCATAAGAACCTGTCACTCACCTACACTAACACGGTGGTAATATTATTTTCTAGGACAAAAACATCAACAGTCCGACTTCCCCTTGGGAGCCATAACGACGAGCAAAAAAAGAAAAAAGAAAAACATCAACAGTCCGACTTACCCTTGGGAGCCATAACGACAAGCAAAAAAAAAAAACTAATATTAATATAAAAAAAGAAGCAAATTTAGCACATTCCAATGTATGTCGTGATACCGGTGAATGTAAACAAAGACGTCTTTCGCCTATGTCGCCGCGTGATGACGTATTCGTCCGCTCCACTCGCCAAATAGTTCGCACGGGAACTACTGTAGTTGGATATTAGAAATAATATTAGAATACGTCATACGTTGGAATGTTAAATAATTTACAGTGTAGCTAAACGTGAAGATTTTATGTTCTTAATGACTACTGTTACACTGTTTTATTAACAAAACAGTGGTGTCAGTTTTGTAAAGTATGATCCCAGTCAGAGAAAAACGGAAGATGACGAGAGTCATAATAATAATAATAATAATAATAATAATAATAATAATAAAACCGTTTAGATTTGAAAAAAGAAAGCAGCTATTTTGCTAACACAATTACCATTAAATTAGCTGAAAAGTAGTGCAGTCAGTGTTTCTTTCACAGAAGTACTTTGTTGTGAATTTAAAAAAGTTCCAGTTGTGGTTAATAGTTAAATTGGAGTCAGTGTCAATCATTTATTCATGTTTGTTTAAAGACATGACATTCCAGGGCCTGAAAAAACTCATCAAATAAATCGTAGGCTAAAATGAGGATAATGCTAACCATAAAACCATTGTTAAAGATGTCTGAGGAATTTTAGTTATTAAAGTTCAACATGTCTTAGAACTTTGCTACTGGGTATTTTCTGACAAATGTGTCCTCTGGAAATTACCTACAATTTCTACCTTTAAAGGAAATTCGGCTGAAGTACAGCAGTGACTCCACCCAGACCTACAGTAGCTCACAGGAATTCACCGGTGCAGCGTTATCACCTCATGTCATTCCTAGGAGAGAGAATTAGGAATAAAAAAAATCTGAACGGACTTAGTCATTCATTAGTTGGAAGTAAACAAGTCACAAGTTTATGGTGTGAAGTCACTGATTTATGTCAGGAGTTTATAAGAATACGTTTGTTTTTTGTTGTAATGTTGTGGTTTTATTCTTATGAATGTATTGTAGCTCTAATACTACATTACTACCAAAGATGTTTTGTTTTTTTAGCTAAAAGTCAACTGAACTGGTACTGTTTTTTGCTACATCTGAAAATGACATCATGTTTTTATATTAACACAGAATTCTTGGTCACACTGTATGTTTTTCACCTTGATCGACAGCATCTGCTTTCAACAAGGGTTCTGGGAAGATGTTGTGAATTTCTGTAGTTGATTTCTTTTTAATTATTATTATAATTTTTTTTTTCTTTTACAATATAAACTGTTTTAAATGCACATTGATATGAGTCTTAGATGCTGTTTTAAATGCACATTGATATGAGTCCTAATTGTATCTAGGACTCATCTGACCTGAAGACCTCCGTGATCTACTTTTGTTTTTTTGGTTTGAGTCCAGTTAAAACAAAGAAAAAGAAGAAAAAAAAGAAAGTCATTTCCTTATCAGGTGTTTTGGGGATCTGTTATTACAGACCAAGGTTCTGTGAGCTGTTAAATGATGGTCACATTGATCTGTGTGACTGAAAAATATGTGCACACTGTACATGTGTCGGTGGTCTGCAGACCAAGTTCAGTGAAAAAGACAACACACACACAGACAACGAGACAAAATAGAGAGAAAACACTCTTTGTTTTTTTAAAAAGCAGAAGAAAATAAGCAATTTGTTGTGGTAGCGTAGAAAGAGAAAAAGCTATTCATCCCCTAAAGTCACATTACAGAGACCAAACTGGAGCAGCCCGTGAAGAAAACACCCATCCAAAGACAGAATCAGAAACAAAATTGTACAAATTCAGAAAAAAAAGTAGAAGAAGAAAAGATTGACTAAATGAGGCCTCGTCTCTACTGAGACCACGAGCGTGAAGCGTCATCACAGTACATGCAGCTACAGAGGTTCAGGGCTCGACTTGGACCCGTGGCGTCTGAACAACTTCAGTCTTTTTAAATGTAAACTTCACATTTGTGTGAAAAGTGAACTGTAACAGTTTGATTAGTGGTAACATTGAAGAAAACAACAGAAAATACAAGTTTGTTTTTTAGAGCAGGCTTCAGAAACAAAAACAAAAAAGATCAGACACCGAAACACTGCACCTGTCCTGCTGTTTGAAAAGATTAAGAAATTAGATTTTTTTTTTAATTCTCTGTCTCAGTGTATAAACGAATGCATTTGGCACTGTGGATTCACAGGTTATTTTAGTGACTGTGCTTTTTTTTACAACAGGATATAAGCTTAAGATCCGTTGCTTTCATTTCTATATTTCTTGGCTGTTTCCTCCATGACACAATCTGTAAAAAGAAGAATGACCTTGTGATGTCATCGTCCATAAATACTCAATGTTTAATGTCGGAGGAAAAAGGAGGAAGTCAGACGATGACGAAGGTGAAATGTTCACACTGCAGGTAAAGAGTCTAAGTTTCTGCCTGTGTGACCACTTCAATATGAGCTCCTACTGTATGTAGTAGTATATTATGTGATTATGACCTTTTGCTGAAGTCACACAGACATCACAGTTCTGTACCAGAGGGGGCGAGACACTACTGGGGAAAAACCAGATTGTCACGGGGTCACTGCTCCCTGGACGCGATCGACAACAGGCTCAAACTGACCCCAGCTGCGGTGGTTTCATGACAAAATGATCAAATTAACTGACACTTTAAAAAGTAAATAAATAAATAAAATAAAAAATAATTGGTGGCATTTTCAGCGTCAAACACACCACTAGATGGAGTCTGGTTTTAAGAGGGAGGGCTTTGACACAGGGTGGCGCTGTTTGCATCTTATTTTAAAACAACACAGTTTTTTAGAACTTGACTACAGCCCCAAAATGTAGGAATAAAGACATAATATTCTGGGGTTTTTTTTTCATGTGACCAATTGTAAGAAATGGCCAATTGTAATTGGACACATAGTAATTGTAAGAGTGAGACCAATTGTAAGACTGGAGGACTGGTGAAGTGAGAACCTCTGACAGAGTGGGGGATTTTCTTCTCAATAAATAACCACAAGATTCTAAGAGTTGTTATTGAAACCCTGTCCTCCAGGGGGAATTCTAGGCTCAAATCCAGAGTTGTGGGTGAACTCCCTGGACTTGATTATTCTCTTTGTTTTTTGTTTGTTTGACAGATGCTGAGTCATTTGAAATACAGTACTAGACATTCGTGCTTGGGCAGGTGTTTGTACTATTATTCTGTGTTTCTCAAACTGTGGGTCTCAATCTGAAGTTGGCTCAGAGCATCACCTACAACAAACTACATTAGTTCTGTTTGACAGCAGGGTGTTCTCAGCTCTACATCCGCCGCTGCCTTTGAAATTAGATTTGAGCATTGGCTAAAGCAGTAGTTCTCAAACTGTGGTGCACGGACCACTAGTGGTACCAGGTCTCCCTCGAATGGTACACTGGGGAATCTGGTTTGCACCAGGATTAAGTGAGTGTCACTTGGATTGTAAATACAGTTGTTACGTTGGTCCTTGCTGTGTGTATCTGTGAGTTACAGTAAAGTGTCCTACAGTACTGCATACTGTACAGGCTATGTGCTGCTGTATTTGAAGTCATTTACACTGGTGGAGTTAATATATTTACTCAAGTTTGTTCTAATCAAGTGACTGTGGGGTCAAAAAGTTCAATTCGTTTTCTAATGTACTTTTATGGATAAAATTTGGTCAATTCCCCAGAAGACATCATTTAGTCATCAGTCAACAGATGAATCTGGAGCTGATATGGACCGAGGTTAAAGAGGACTTTAATGGTAATAATGATAATGACAAATGTGTCAGGGGAGCTGTCCACTCATAGTGGGTTCAGAGTCAGAGCTGAACATGCAAATAATCAACGTGTTTCTTGCAGTCACTCTCTCACTCCCCACTCCTCCCTCTCTCCCACATACAGTGTTGAAATAAACCAACACAAGTTTTTTTCTTAACCGCAATTAATATTCGTTTTTGTCTACATATCAAATTTGGATCTCGTAGTTTTCTTACATTTTTACTGTGATATAGTTTGGCCTGAGTGCAGCCATGTTAAAAAGCAGGGGGAAGAAATGATCAAAATAAAAGGAAATGAATAAAAACCACCAGCAGTTAGGGTTAGGGATCATGAATCCTCCTTAGCAGCTAACGATGCTAATGTCTGACGAGCGACTAAACCAAAGAAGATCCGTGAGTCGGAGAAACAAACGTCTGCTTGTTACGAAGAAGAAAAGGAGAAATATTTCCTTCTGTCTTTCTCTCCTTTATTTCCTCCTTCTTTCCTTCCCTCCCTACCTTTTTAACTTTCTGCCTTTCAATCCAGTCTCACTTGTTTCTCTTCTTTCAGTCTAACTTTTCTCTTCTTTTCTCCATTTCAGTTTCCTTTCTCAGACATGTGCTCCTTCTCCTCTTTGTTTCTTTTACTTGTTTCCCTTTTTCTTCCTCTTCTTTATCCTAAAAGTGTTTCTCTCTGTTGTTTTCCTCCCTAACCATTTAAAGAACAAACCAGTGTCCCCTCAAAGTTCACATGTTTTCCAAACACGCAATTGCTGCCTGACATGACTTTTCCACTTGCATTACACATCGTTAATGATTGGCTGTGATTGGCTCTAAAAAAGGAAGTGCAAAAAAAAAAAAAAAAGTCCAGTGTGTCTCTCCCTGGTTATAGTAATGATTTACTTTGGCCTTAATGAAGGGAGGAAATTATCGTACATTATGAGATTTGTGGTGAAAAAAAAATAAATTCTATAATTATGACAAGTCTGGCAGCACTGATCTTGACGTCAGTTGACGGAGGAACAGAGAGGGGGGAGGAGGGGTAGCAGTGACTGGGGGGGAGAAGTTGAGGTTGTATTTTGAGGATGTGAGTTTACCCTCTGCCCCTGGTGTGATCCGATTGGTCAACTTCTTTTCTGAACGTCTGAAGAAACGTACGATAATCATCGGGGTCCAGGCGTGTACAGTAGATGTGCGTGTGTCCAGACGTCCATTCTAAAGCAAGCGAGTACATAGAGCAGCAGTAATAATGTTGTAAACTGGTTCTGTTTCCTTCATGCATCAGCAGATCCTCAGCTCATTCTAACATACGCAGAAAATTTCTTTTCTTCTTCAGCTCATTCTAACATACGCAGAAAATGTCCTTTATTCCTTTTCTTCTTTTTTTTAACCCTTTTTCCTCCAGGTCATGTCTGGAAAACATGCTCTAATCATTTAATCGCCACAAACTATCTTCTTTTTTTTTCAGTTTCAGTCCTTATACAATACTTCTCATGATAAAGATAAAATATTAAATATAATATTAAACAGGCATTAAACTTACTATAAAAAAGTAATGTGGCGAGAGTAGAAATTGTGTCCTGTTTTTCTTTGAAATTTAGAAAGAATAGTTGAATATTTTTTTTCCTTCTTCCTCTTCCCCTTTAGGAATAAGAGACACTTGTCGAGAGTGTGGGTGAGGAGAGCGTGGGTGAGGAGAGCGTGGGTGAGGAGAGCGTGGGCGAACGACTGACAGACAGAAAAACACCATGACACAGATGTAAAGTAAGAAGTTGGTCAGCAGCTGTACAGTCCACTCTCATCACTTCAATTATTATTTTTTTTCTTTTTAAAACAGTCACAATAAAAGAAGAATTCAACAGTCCCTGAAGGTAAAGTCTCTTTTTGAAAATAATAATAGTAATAAAAAAAATCATACGTCTTATTTCACTACAGGAAAGAAGAGAGTGTAAAAGAGCTACGTGAAACAATTCACTGTAAATAAAGACATAAATAAAAACTAAAAACTGAATCTAACAGGAAGGGACGGAGGAATGTCGAGGCTGACCGTGTTCAACAATATACGTGTGTGTGTGTGTGTGTGTGTGTGAATATCCCACTGTCTTCAGTGAGTCTCACTCTCATTAGAGCTTCTTCGTCCTCCACTGATTCTCTTCTCACTCTGTTCGGCATCGTTCTCTCCTGAGAACCTGCTCCTGTGTAAACTCTCTCCCGTTCCTGTTACTGTTGTTCCTCCTTGGCAGTATTTATTTTATTATTTTTTTAAATCTCAGGTAGGTCCATCTAAGACTCCTCCTCCCCGGTGGAAACAGCCAATCGCATGGCCACAGACAGGTGGTCGGTGAGACCAGCCAACTGGGTGACGAAGCTGAAATCCTCGATTTCCTGAAGTAGAGAAAACAAAGTGAGAAAATAATGTCTTCTCAGATGTTGTAATTTATAGAAAGGTTTCAGATTTTCAAAATTAAAGCAGGTTAACGTGTGTGTCCAATACTGGGTCTTTGTTGAGTAAGTGTGGAGCTGCGTTACCGTTTATTTGATCAGGTTTGAAATCAATCAAATGTTAGTATAAAGTGTGGCTCAGGTTTCGAACAAGACTGTATTTATAAAAAATTCAAAAAAAATCACTTGTTTATAATTAAACTTGCCGCTTTAATATTTTTTTATTTTATAATCGTTTTTAAAATCTCTGATTCGACCGTTTGCAACGAGTGCGGCAATTTTTCTGGTAAACAGCACCCTCTGTAGGCAAATAATATCATTCCGTCGGAATGTAGTTGTTTCATTTTCAGTAACAAAACAACAGAGCAACGTGATCACAAGTTATGAATTGTTAAAATTGTTTTTATTTGACATCACCGTTGCTAATTAGCATGATGCTAATTATACTGAGTTACAGTAAAGGGGCGTCGGGTTCAAAGACAGCCAACAAGTTCAAAAATGTATTCCATTATCTTTGCTATTATAATACAACAATATTAAACCATTATAATTACTTATAATAAAGGCATGATATGACGATGCTTATTATATTTATATAACTTTGGCTAAATATTAACCATGTAACCTAACTTTTTTTTAAATTAAATTATGTTTTGTTTTCTTCAATCAGCAGTGTTAAATATTGTACTAAAAAAAAATAAACAGGTCCAGTTATTTGTGTTCTTCCTGGAATGTCTGTATAAACTGAAGGGACATAAATGTATTTTTGTTTAGTTTTAGATATAAACGATGTTACAGTTACCATACTCTGGCACTAGGTGGCATAATGGGACAATGCCGTGAGGCAGTGGAGAAGCCACAGACCAAGAGCAGACATGTGGTATTGTCCAGTTTTTCTTTCTTCCAGACAGTTTTGTTTTGTATTGTTTTTAACCTGTAATTTTGACTTTTCATTTTATCTCCCATCCTTCACTCTGATGCTGCAGTACGAGCTGCGTGTCAGACTGAGGGGAGAAGTTATTGAAAACCCCCCCAGAAAAAACATTAAATTCTATATAGTTTTTTCCCCACATAAATAATTTAGGTTAGATCAAAAATAGTGGTTTCAGTTTTATTATGGATCTGCAGCAAAACAAACATAATAAACACCACCCGTCTCCACTGAAGCTCACCAGTTTCCAGTCCTGATTCAGGCCCTCGTCGCTGTAGAGGATGTAGTCGATGCGACGTCCGTTTCCCTTCAGAGGGATCTTTCTTCCCTTCTGGCTGTTGGCAGGACACTGGCTCTTACTGGGAGGAAACACCAGGTATTCCTTCCTTCCATCCTCGTTCTCCATCACTCTGACGGACACACAGGGAGGTCAGAGGATCAGTGAGTGAACTGATGAAGAAACTGCTGAAAACTTCTTGTTGCTAATGTTTCAACCCAGTTAAACTTTTTGTTGTTTGCTGTTGTTTTTTGTTGAAGAATCTCACGTTTATTTATTCAATTCACAGTTGGACATGATTCCTGGAGTTGGAGTCAGATGTAGGATGTTGGCAGCGTAAGCCTATCAGAATCACACTTCTCCAGAGAGAATTTAGGACTAGATACAATATAACTGATCATTCTCAGTTCTTTGTTTTGTCTGATGTCTACGTCAAATGAGAACTTAATCGGCCAACCATATAACTGTGACCAACTGTTGGTCACATGACTGTGTTAAACCTGCAGAGATGTCAGAGCGAACCGTCCGGTTGAGTCAGCCTGACATCACTGTCGACTGTAGAAACATTTATGAAAAAGGAAAAATGAAAAGAATGTCGGACTGGACTCACTTTTGTAAACCTTCAGGGGAGCTGACCTCGTCGTCATAAAGGCCACTGGGGTCCAGTAGGGTACCTGATGAAGGACAGACAACAGCAGTGTCACCATCAAATGATCAAAAAGTCAGGGCCAGTAAAGCTATTAATGTGGAACAGTGCTTTTCAAAGTGTCATGCGTGACACCACTAGGGGGCACCAGAGTACTGTAGGAATGACACAAAACAGGAAAAAAGCAAAGCAAAGAAATATACCTGAATATTTCAGTTCACATATTGCTGGTCATGTGTTTGAAGTGCCCTAGTTTTTTTTTTTTAAAGTCACGTAAGGACAGTTTTGGACTTACTCTTCTTGATCGACGACGTAGCAAAAAACAGGGAGGAAAAAAAAACGATGTGTGTGTTTCACAGGTCACTAACAATCGTCATGTCACTGTTTCTTACTGACAGTCAGGTATTTACAAATGTGGCCTTGTTTATTCACAGCAGCTTGTTCAGTGATCGACAGCCTCGACAGCCTCCTCCTCCTCCTCCTATTTGTGGCGTCCTAAAATACACCTTGGCATTTTAAAATGTGGGAAAGAAGACAGAGGTACACAGTCTCCAGCTCTACTCTCACAGCCATCAGTCGGCAATTCTCTGTCATCAACCTCTGAGATATAACAGCCAAAGAGAGGACGGCTCTCAGAGAGGCTTCTGACCCGATGAGGATGTTGGACTGATGTTTAAAAATGTTCCAGCTGAGAGAGCAGCTCTCACAGATACTCCAGTCTGTACCAGTTTTGGCAGCTCTTATAAAAGAACCTGCGCTGCCTGTCGGCGCCGTTGCCTTCAGAACATTTGGGAAGGAGAAATAAATGTGAGATCTCTTCTCTGGAGTGGAGTAAACATCAGTTTCTCCGTCCTCGTAAATCCTGCCTTCAACAACCACCGTGCAGTCGTGAAGATTCTCACACACCCGTGCACGTCACTGCTCCTAAAATACACTCCGAGCCACAGTTAACTGTACGTTTTGGGGCCGTTGGTTTGGGCCTGATGTGTCATTGGACTCCAGGCAAATTCAAAGACCACAGGTGTTGACCGTCGACACACTTTAAAAAAAACATTTCCATCTTTGTCCCAGAGGTTTTTGGTTCCAGTTTTCCTGTATTTGCTGTTCAGGGTGTCTGTGCATCACTGTTGCCGGGGTGGCGCTGTGGCAGATCTCGCATTTCGTGAAATCTGTTGACACGCTGTCAGCAAATCTGCAGCCCCGGTCTCTGTGCCCATCCTTCTCGGTCAGGCTTTGTTCTCACTGCGGCACAATCTGCTCGGGGTATTGAGCGACACGCTCTTTCTTTTCCGCCTTCCTTCCATCGATTTCCTTTTCTTTCTTGTATTATTTCAGTGCTGTCCTCCTTCTTCTCTCCCTGCAGAGGTGTCCAAACATCAAATGTCCCCGTTCAAATAAACAGGCCTCGCTCTGAATGAGCCCTTTACTCTCTCCTGCCCACACTTCTGCCAAAAATACCACTGGCCTAAATAATCCAGACCCAAACCTTGGCTGCTTTTACGTCACTAACGCCCCGTGGTTCAACACGCTGTACTCTGGATGTTCCATCTCACACAGCGGCTGAATTCAGCTGCAGTAGGACAGTTTATTCTTCCTAGTTCTACGTTTATTTGGAGTTTTCATCAACAGTTTTGTTTAACGTGTCTACAGAAGGACACGAAAAGTCAGAAATCAGACCGCGACCCTACCTTTTACCACACTAACAAAACAACCAGCCATCAAGTAATGGTCAAAATCAATCATATACAGTTATATATATAGCATTTATGTAGTAATATTAATAATAAAAAACATTCAAATATTCAAAAGAACTTTTACAGAACTAATGGGTCCCTGAATAAATACAAAAATAACTAAAAGAGCATTATTGTCTGTGTGTACAGTGTGTTGTATGTGTGTGTTGTGGTGTATGTGTGTGTGAGATTACCCAGGGCCCATGGTTTGTCCTCCCCCGGCCCCAGGCGACATGGGTCCTTGTACTGAGTAAAAAGTGCGTGCTGCTGCTCCAGCTTGTCCTCTGGAGAGTAAAGAAATCATCCGTCATAAAAAAATACTCAAAATATTCAAATATTCAAGTCTTTAAATGCAAAGTGTTCAAGTTTCAGTTAGAACTGTGGAATAAAATAACAATAATAACTTAGAAAATGCAGTATAATTGAATCCACTCACATCCCTCCTCCACCATCCTCTCCTCTCCTCTCCTCCTGTTGTCTCCCCCCTCCTCTCCCCCCTCTCCTCCCCTCATTGATATTTTTTATTAATTGATTTATAATTTATTATCGTTCAATAGAAATAAAAGCTTTCCTTCCACATTTCCCACTGGTGTTTTTCCCACAGATGGTTTTCCACATCCTGTTTCACACTGCCGACACATTTCCACTCGCAGTGTTAAAGGATTCGTTCTCCATCTGGAGCGCGTCTGAACCGATCTCTGCAGTTTCCTGCTGTGGCCCTGACGGCCGACTACCTGACGAGCAGTTGTCGAAGTTGAGGTCACCCAGGATGACATCAAAGGCCACCAGGTCTTCCAGCACCTTCTCCCCCTCAGGCGTCTGGGACGAGGACTGACGAAACTCTGAGCCCCACCGGAGCAACAGGTCCAGCTGCTCACACCGCA